CTCTAAAGCTCTTTGATACCATTGCAAAGCTTCTCGATAATTCGTATCCAAACAAATACCAAAATGATACAATCGTCCCAAATGAAAGGCTGCTATTCCACTTTCCTTTTCTTCAACTCCACGACGATAAGTTTCCACTACTTGTTGTACATTCTCAGGAGTTACGGGTATGCCCAACACATCCTCCTCTTGTCCCCCTATATCCACTTTATTCTCCTTTCTGGATTGAATGTTTTGTAAAAATATTTCCATCTTCTCTTCATCAGTCACATCTTCAACGACTGTTTCTTGTTGCTTTACTGGAGTGTTTGTGATAGTCTCTTGCAAAGACATATCAACAATATCACTTGAATACTCTAATTGGTTCCACCAGTAGTCTTTCAATTTTTCCAATTCGACTATGAGAAACTTTCCTTTTGCTGTTTCTTCCAGTTGCCAAGGAATCCAATCTTCTTGACTGGTCACACTATCTAACAAGTGTTGACCAAATACAACTTTTCCACCAACACTTATTTCAACTTGTGACTTGTCTATGAATACAGAAATATCGCGAGTTGAAGTAGTATACGGAACTTGGACCATAATAGTGATAGTATGAATGGTTTGTGACCATTCATAATGATGACTTGCCATAATATCTAATGATGAATGACGACGGAAATGGAACAATATTCCATTTTATTATTATGATGATTATTCTCCAAGTACTCTTCCTGGACCCCATTGATGATGTTGTTGCTGTCTAGTGAAAGTGGATCTTGTGGTAGGAGGAATAGGTCCACTTAAAGTTGTTCTTCTTCTTGGTAACCATTGACGTAGAAATAAGGGAGTAGCAATCAATTTGTGACCTTGATTGCCAGGTAAAGTTGGATATATCTTATCTACAAAATACCAACAGTGTCCAGCAACTATTCCCGCAACAGCACGCATATTCAAACTTCCACTGGTCAACAAATCCATCAACAGATATACAAACGGAATATATTTCCCAGGCACTTGTACCAAACCCCATATAGAAACCAACTGGTTGGCGTGATATTTGGACCACATATAAATCACAGCCGATAATAAACTGGGTCCAAAAAAGAATAATGGAAAAGCTAAAATATCCCATATCCATAATATTCCAGTACAAAAAAGCAGCATAAATAAATAGTCTGCTGGGTCATGAAAGAAGACTTCTTCTTCTACCGACTTGGAATACTGAAGAATAAATAAAAGTTGGAATAAAAAGCCCAATCCAAGCCCTCCCAAGTACAATACAGAAAAACAAAGTCTCCACAACTCCAAGCCTTTCCATACGCTTGGCCATAGAAGAATGACACTCTTCACTCTCAACAAGCCTAAGCCAACTAACAAAGTGATAGTAAAGGACCCTAATAACCAGGTTCTGGTAATAATAGGTAAGCTTTGAAACCAAGAAGATAGGGAAGTTTGGTCCAACGTGCGAATAGAGTTGGGTTGGGACATGAAAGTCAATAATGATGAAGAATAAAGTAATGCATTCAAAAGTTATCTTTTTGTTTACGAAGATAAGCCAAAATATCCACAGGATCTGAATCCAACATTCTCAAGGACTCTTGAAGTTTCTTTTCTGTGACTCGCATAAAAGGATTATACTGAACTTCTTCACTTAGAGTAGATGGAACTGTAGGTTCATGAAGACTCCTCCTTTGTTCTGCCCAAGCCAACTTTGTCTATCATCATATATTACTATTGTGCCCACTTTGTTGACAAATCATACCTGAATAAAGGAGTTGTTGGTTTCTACTGTCTTTGCAAACTGTAAATTCTTTACAGTATATTCGTGACCACACCAAACCCGAGTATCCAAAGGCAACACTCTCAATACTTGCAACAGTGAATGAAACATATCTTTTGCTGTTCCTTCAAAGAACTTTCCACAACCTGCAATAAACAGTGTATCTCCTGTAAATACTTGAGGTGGTGAACTATCTGTCGTAGTAACATAATAACAAATATGGCCTTTGGTGTGACAGGGAGTATGGAGTGCTTTGATACAAATATTACCCACCTTGATGTCTTTCAGTTTCATTTGTAACTTTAAGAACATACACTTACGTGAATAATTTGTCCATCTTTCACTGACAACGTTGCACCATCCACCTCATCCAACTCACCACCAACAATAGTAATACCAAAAACCAACTCTGCCATTTTCTTATTTCCTGCAGCGTGACTAGAAATAACCGTTATGGACAAGAAGCGAAATATTTCTACAACTTACTCCCAGTGCTTATGAGTAGTTAACACGTGGGTAAGCTTTACCCTTTCCTTGGTTGCCACTTCTAATACTTTTTCAGGTTCTGCAGGATCTATAGCCGCTGCTACATTCTTAGTAGTATCTATCAATAAATAGGCATAGTTATCGGATAAAACAGGAATAGTAACAACACGTGCGATAGGAGACAAGGCCTCGTTGGACATTAGAAATGCTTAAGTTTTTTCTTATGAAATTTTGACGACCCAAAGAGAATGAAATGGACTATTCAAAACTATGTGCTTATGTGTAAGTAAAAGAACCGAAATCTTTCTCATAAAAGAGTTCAAAGTTTGTGGTTGTACTAGTGCGATTTCCTTGGTCTTTTTTTAATGTTTGGGGTACTTGTTTGTCTTTCACCAGTTGTATTTCTGGAGTTGCCAGTTTATTGCAGTGGACAAGTTTCCGAGAAACATGTATTGCTATTTATATTATGTTGGTTCTCTACTTTTTCTCTTTCTTTTTGGAATATTGAATTAGGTTTAGTATCTTTGGTTGCTTTTGGTTTTTATTGGAGTTGTTTCCTTTTCCTTTTGCTGCTTTTCAGTGGGATGTCTTATATAGTTGGTTGGGAAGAGGTTTGATTATGATACTGTGAGTAACTTTTCCTTGACTTATATTTTGGCTCACTTGATGGACATTGCTACTAGACTTGGTATACTGCAGTGGACAGCGAGTTCACTTTCCTTTGTCGTAGGTTGTCTAGTGTTTGCTTTGGTAAGACTGTTTTCAGATCATTCTTGTGCACTAAATAGAGTTGGATTGTGTGTTCCAAAAGGGTTGGAGTTGTGTATTCATTAGTTTATTATCACTTCGATATCCAAATTTTTGTCCCGATCGTATGACAACTTTATTTTATTCTACTTTGGAAGAACAACCGGAATATATTCCACCACCACCTTCCGAGTTTGCTTAACTTGTCTATTTTCTTCCTTCTTCTTTCAGTTGGTTTTGATGACGTTCACAGAAACGATGTATTCTTGAAAACGCTTCATTTAACACAGCTTTGGGTGCACAATAAACGACTCTGAAGAAATGAGGTGCTTGAAAACATTGTCCAGGTAATACCAAAACTGACTCTTCAGCTAATAATTGGATAGCCCATTCCATATCATCTTGAAACCCCATAGACTGGGAATCCAGTTGAACCATACAATACATACTTCCTTGAGGTGCACTAGTACAAGATAAACCTCTTATCTTGGATAAAGAATCCACAGTAAACTTGGCATGTTCTTCCAATGTTTCCACAAGGGCTACAAAGTCCGACTTGCAAGAATCCGAAAACAATGTTGGCAAAATCATTTGAAAAGGTGAACTAGGTACCAACATTCTCATACTCAACTGTCTCAAGCCTTGAATGATGTTTCCCTTTTCTAATAATTTTTGACGATCGTGTATGACAATCCATCCTAAACGCCAACCAGGAGCAACAAACATTTTACTTACACTACCCACCGATAAAATAGGTACATATTCACTTAAAGAAGCAAAAGAAAAGAACTGGCTACCTGAAAATGTCATATCTGAATAGACTTCATCAGCTACAATAGGAATACAAAGACGCTGTGCCATTTCCACAATGGCCATCATATGAGAATATGAAAATACGCTTCCACAAGGATTACTAGGATTATTCACAACTAGAGCTGCAGTACGATTATCGACCAATTGAGGTAGTTTTTCCAATCTGATTTGCCAACGTTGATGAGGATCCAAATCATAATAACGTACTTCAACTCCTAAATTATCCAATAAGGTCTTAAATAAGGGAAATCCTGGTCGAGGAATCAAGACATTGTCTCCAGGATTGCATAGAGCATTGAATACCATCTCCAAAGCACCCGAAGTACCACAAGTTAGAATAACTTCATCCTTAGTAATGGAATGATATTTATAAGAATATTTGCTTGCAATAGCAGACCTTGCATGTTCATTTCCCAAAGAGTTTGCGTATCCATGAGCTGAGTTCTCGGCAAGTACTTTTGAAAGAGCTTTCATGGCTTCTCGAGGCACTTTTAAATTTCCAAACGCTGTGGGATCTCCGATGGATAGAGCAATCAATTTTTTGTCTGGATTAGGTTTGACCGCCATTCCTTGTACAAGTTGTCGAATAGGATTGACCGTTTCCATGGCACGCTTCGAACAAGAAATTTTCCATTCCCTCTGTACAACACGCTTGGAAACGTATTGAATAGTTTCATTCTTCTTCTGTTTGTCAGTCTTTTTCTCGTCGTCTTGTGGATAAAGAATTTCTGCGGGACTTCTTTTCAAATCTATTTCCGCGTGACAATAAGAACACCAGCCCCATTTTTCTATTTCTTCAGGTGGCGCCAACCCTTTACATTGTGGACAAGATAGCCATCCTTTCCTTGCGTTTTCAAAAAGTCGCATAAAGGACTCGGTATCCATCGAATTCACGTGGTTACGTTTCCTAGCTTGCTCACTTTCCTTGATAAAGTCTTCATAAGCATGACTTCTTAAAAAGCTTGGCTCATTAAATAAAATGGGATCCACTGAAACTTGTCTTTTGGACGAAGGACGCTGCTCTTTGGGCCAATCAAAGCGCTGACTCTACGTCAGTCATAAATAAACTCTTTCACATCCAACAATAACGACAAGTGATTCTTACCAATTCTTTCAAGACTCTATTCATATCTTCTGCTTCTTCGCCGTCTTTTTTATCGTCTTCTTCTTTTGGAATTTTCCAGGATTCACGACCTTGTTTCCAAGCTGTCTCATTATCTGGTCCTTGTTCCATAGAAGCCCAGCACGTTCCTTTCGTAAATGTACGCCAATATCGTTTCCGCTTAATACGACCATGATACTTGATTTTGGCTTTTTCTGACCAAAAGCTACCCAAGTGAGAAGAAATATCCGCACCACCTATGAAAAACAACATCACCCAACAAATAGCCAATCTTTCTTTTTCCTATTTATTATCCCATAGAAAAATGCTTTTCTTGGCGCCATTCTTTAGTTATTTATCATTTTAATTTGGATGGCGGAAGCACACAATCTTTTAGACTTGCCTAAAACCAAAGCAGTTATCTTAGTTGGAGGTGCTTCTAAAGGTACTCGATTTCGTCCACTATCACTTGATCTCCCCAAACCACTGTTTCCACTGGGAGGTAAGCCTATGATAGAACATCATATCGAAGCTTGTGCTCGTGTACCTGGAATTATGGAAGTGATTTTGTTGGGATTCTATGAAGAGTCTTTATTTACAAGTTTTTTGGAGTCTGTCAGTGAAAGGTTTGGTATTCCTATGCGTTATTTAAGAGAGGCCAAGTCTTTGGGAACAGCTGGAGGTCTTAGTCGTTATGGCAACGCTATTCTTTCTGGAAACCCCAAGGCAGTTTTCGTTTTACACTGCGATGTGGGTTGTTCATTCCCTCTCATCAATCTCCTGCGATTTCATATACAAAAAAGTCAGGAATGTACGATTCTTGGAAAGGTTGTGGAACCAGAAGAAGCTAGAAAATACGGTTGTATGGTGAAGGATCCGAATACTTTCGAATTATTGCACTATGCGGAGAAACCTTCATCCATAGTATCTGAACTCATCAACTGCGGTAAGTATTGTGATGGAAAAGGGTTTACAACCTGATAACACCGGACAAGGTGTCTATGTGATATCTCCTTGGATATTGGATTACATCGGTCAGATACGTACTAAAGGCTCACAAAGTCCCAACAGAGTCAGTTACTATATGGATAGAGAAAACGATATCATTCGATTGGAACAAGAAGTGATTATGCCGTTGGCAGGTAAAGGCAAAATATTTGTATACGAAATGGAAGGATTTTGGGCACAAGTTAAAGAACCCAAAGCTGCATTGCATTGCTCCGAGTTGTATTTGGCATATTATAAAGAACATAAACCGGAATTGTTGACCACTTCTACGACTTCCTTGAGAGCGGTAAGTCGTCGTTATCAAACTTGTAAGGATGATAGATATTGTTTTTTTTGTTTGTTAGCGAATGGATGGACTGCTATTTATGCGGAATCAGAAGCCAACAGTTGGGTTACAGGAGACGAGACTGAATATTGTGGGAGCAGTCTACATTCATCCTTCAGCAAAAGTAGAAAGTAGTGCCAAGATTGGACCCAATGTGACCATCGCTGCTGGAGTAGAGATAGCTGCTGGTGCGAGGTTGATGAATTGTATTATATTGGAAGACGTGAGTGTCAAAGAACATGCATTTATCAGTCATAGTATTATTGGTTGGGGTTCAGTTGTGGGTGCCTGGACTCGAGTACAAGGAACGCCGGATAATCCTACTATATTTGGAGCTGGAGTCGTCACTGAAGCAGAAATTGTTGTTCGCAACTGTACAGTATTGCCACACAAAGCACTCAACGAAAGTTGTCATCAACAAATTATTCTTTAATGATTTACATGTTGGTATGATGATGTTGTATCTATGACGATAACCACGGAAGAAGTCCTAGTTACTGTATTTCAGTTTCTAGAAAAGGCAACAGAATATCCTTATAATGACCCACATAAAACGTTGGCTTTGGTTGTACACGGTATTTTATTAACTCACGGCTTTCGTCCCTCAGAAGAAGAACCACCCGAGAATGTAGATAACTGGTCACTCTCTGTTGAAAACGCAAAAATACCAAACTGTTTTGAGGAAAACAAGTATGGAGGAAGTTATCGACACTATAAGAGTTGTATGACCTTTGAAGTCCGAATGGTGCCTCTGGATAAGTATGTGGTAGTCAACGCTGTAGCCAGTGATGTGGACAGAGTGTTTTATTGTGAGCTCAAGTAAGTTTGATAATATTTGAAGGGTCCTGTATATTGAGTCTAAAGTGTTTTTGTAGGTTGGAGAAATATTTCAAGGACACAGTTTTGGAAGGTGGTAAACTGGTCGTTCCTCTGAGGAACTTGAAGTGGAGTCAAATACTGAAGAATGTGACCGATATGATTGCTGTGTTACGAACACAAATTATTTATGCACTTGTTCCTGATAGTGCTAAAGAAGGTTATGAAGCTAAAACCAGCGAAACTCACATTGGACAGTCAACCAACCAGCAGTCACAAGATAGTCGTCAGTTCTCACTACCGTCTAGAGACCCATTGCGTGTTGTTCCTCCTGTAGGTAGTCGATATTATCCAAGTGCCTATATAGATGAGGATAGAGATTCCATTCCGGTTCTTGGCCAAGGAGATTTATATCCTGGAGGGTTGCCTCGATTGTAAGTTTGCAACCTATTTTGTTGATAGTAGCTTATCATTATTTTTTAGGGAACGTACGTTTCCTAGTGGACCTTTGGATGGTTCTTTTGCAGCTCCAGATAATGGTTCCTTGATGGGACCTCGTCATTCCATGTTTCAGAGACGAGACCAACGGCCAGGACCTGGAAATAATATGTTGCCAAGGTTAGTATGTTATGGTTTGATTGTATTCTCAACTCAATAGGAAAGTTATAGAGGAGCTGTTCCTCCTGGAGCACGATTTGATGAGTTTGGTCCTCGATTTCCTCCCGATGAAACTTATTCAACCCTAGCTGGGTGGAGACATCGTCAAGAGATGCCGGATAATGATGTAGATGAACCACCACCTCCTGAAATGTATATGTGAAGAGAAGCCATTTCATTTGTAAATAAAATTGTTTTGTGATTATTGTTGGTGTGTGTTGATTGCGGGATTTCTTTTATTGTTCTATTTGCCAGATATCATGACTGCACAAAACAAAGAAACCGAAAAACCAAACCATGGCAGCAGTGCGTTGGACGAGAAAGATATTGCTTTGATGAAATCCTATGGTTTGGGACCTTACGCCCTGAATATAAGAAAGTTGGAACAAGAAGTTAAAGACAAACTCACACATATCAACCAAATATGTGGAATAAAAGAAAGCGATACCGGTTTGGCACCTCCAAGTCAGTGGGACTTGGTTGCCGACCGACAAACTATGCAAGAAGAACAACCCCTACAAGTATGTTCACTTGTCTATGTAAGCCTTTCATATCGGTATTCATCCTCTTTTGTCTTCATTAGGTAGCTAGATGTACCAAGATAATCAATCCAAATACGGAAGACGTAAGGTTTCCATTCTGATTGTTGAAAAGTTGTAATCGTTGTACTAGGCCAAATATATGATCAACGTGAAACAAATTGCCAAGTTTGTAGTCGGTCTTGGAGAAAAAGTTGCTCCAACGGACATCGAAGAGGGCATGCGAGTGGGAGTAGATAGAAACAAATATCAAATACAGATCCCTTTACCACCCAAAATTGACCCTTCTGTGACTATGATGACGGTAGAAGAAAAACCCGATGTTACATACAACGACGTGGGAGGTTCGAAAGAACAGATTGAGAAAATTCGAGAAGTTGTTGAGTTGCCACTGTTGAATCCAGAAAAATTTATTGCTCTTGGTATTGACCCTCCCAAGGGAGTATTATTGTATGGACCACCTGGTACTGGGAAAACTTTGTTAGCACGAGCAGTTGCTAATCGTACCGATGCTTGTTTCATACGAGTGATTGGTTCCGAACTGGTACAAAAATATGTCGGTGAAGGAGCTCGAATGGTGAGAGAATTATTTCAAATGGCACGTTCCAAAAAGGCTTGTATTATATTTTTTGATGAAATCGATGCGATTGGAGGTGCTCGCTTTGATGATGGTGCTGGAGGAGATAATGAAGTTCAACGTACGATGTTGGAAATTGTCAATCAATTGGATGGTTTTGATGCACGTGGAAATATCAAGGTTTTGATGGCAACCAATCGTCCTGACACACTGGACCCAGCTTTGTTAAGGCCTGGTAGATTGGACCGCAAAATAGAGTTTGGTTTACCTGATTTGGAAGGAAGAACGCATATCTTTCGTATACATGCAAAGAGTATGAATTGTGAACGCGGCATTCGTTTTGAACTGTTGGCTCGATTATGTCCCAATACGACCGGTGCCGATATACGAAGTATTTGCACAGAAGCTGGTATGTTTGCTATACGGGCGAGAAGAAAGACAGTCACAGAAAAAGACTTTTTACAAGCCATTGACAAAGTAGTCAAAGGATATGCAAAATTTTCTTATGTTAGCAAGTACATGATATTCAATTGAATGGAACGATATATGTACAATCTTTTGTGAGAGAACTTAATTATCTTTGAAGGCAATCTGTGTGTTTATTCTTTGTTGACAACAACAGCACATACCAAAGAATGGCATATCATGAAACTATGTCAATACGATTCAAACGTCATTCACAACCCAATTCATGTCGACTCTATAAAATAGGAACGAACATCTTTATACACTTCTTCTACACTTCTGGAAGCATCCACTTGCACAAGTTTCTCTCGAGAACGATAATACTCAACAACCGGCATAGTCGTTTCTACAAAAGTAGTAAAACGTTTGCGAATACTATCCAAATTGTCATCACTTCGACCACTCATTTGTCCTCGTTTCATCAATCTTTGTTCCATTTCCTCTTGTGGACAATCCAAAAACAAAATAAACTCAAAGTCACCCACCCATTTTTCAAATGCTCCAGCTTGATCTAATTTCCTAGGAAAACCATCGATCAAAAAGCCGGGAGTTTGGGTTTGTTCTTCCATTGCATTTTTTAATAGCTCAATAGTAATATGACCAGGTACAATTTCACCATTTCTGATCATTCGATCAATCATCTGTCCGTTGGAAGAACCAGTTTGCATTTCTTTGCGCAAAAGATCCCCAGCTGATAGATGACATAGATGAAATTCTTCAACAAGTTTTTCACATTGTGTACCTTTTCCACTTCCAGGACCACCCAATATAAAATATACCTATGCAATATATCGGGTTTAATCTCTCCAAGTATGAACGGAAAGAACAAAGAAAGGCTACTTGCCTTTTTCTTTGGAGACAAGGTAGGATCATGTTGGATAAGATAATGTCCCAACCACTCACAAGGATTTTCCGGTTTTTGCTCCAATTTACAAAGTTGAGTTAAACCTGCAGTAAGAATGGGTACCACTGCGGATTCCAAATACTTTCTAGGATTGTTTTCCAACATATTGTGAATATCAACTGGACCTTGCTCAGAAAACAAAAAGCACAACACAAAGTCAATACTCACGGTTCGGAAAGAAAAACTCTATGCATTCCTTTGCGATACTCTTATCCGTAGAATAATATAACAATTCGAAAGGAAAACCATATTTCGTCGAGAAAGAACTGGCTTCCAAGTCTCCTTTATCCATAGAGGTTTGACCGTCAAACAATTCTTTGAAAGTTTCCAAAAGTTGTTTTTTCTTTACAATGAAAGCCATACATGAGTTTTCAGTTAGCTTTCCTATTTTTTCTTCTTCTTCTGCTTCATTGGTAGCTTGTTCATTCGGTTTGGAGTACAACTGGAGAAACCGTTTAGCACGTTCACGATCCAACGAAACCCATTCTTGATATACTATTTCACAATCTTTTTGTTTCAAGTCTTTGGTAATAGTTGCTTGTTTCGATGCAGCTGCTTGTGTAAGGAGTAAGAAACCAAGCATGTCATCTTCCGCCATCAATGAATAATATGAAAATGCTTTTGGCGCTCATCTTCATTTTTTTTTCAAGGATTGTTTCTCAAACCATTATTATGATTGGACTACAACGTATTAATAAAGCACAATCCTCTTTTGTGAAATAGAAATAAGCTCAAAGGTCTTACTTTTACTTGACTATGAATTTCTCTTATTTGTTTCCTTTCAGCTGACAACATGTTCCCCTTGTTTGATTGGACATTTCATTTCATACTTAAGAGACTGTGTTGGTCCAAATCTTGATTGGTTTTCTTTTATATTATTCAACTGTAAGTATTCATCTTTTTTTAAAGAGTCTCTTCGGAAAGATATCTATTCTTTTAGAGTTCCTAAACAATGGATACTATCCTCTGTATCACCTAAAAACGATTGGCCCAAATATCAGTGAACATGTTCTATTTATAGCAACTTGATATGCTTTCCATTCTTATGGAATATAACACAATCAAACAATCCCAAAAAGAACAACAAACATTCTCTCTGTCAAGAAATCCAATTTGAAGATTTGCTTTGCATATTTTTCATGAAATGAAAAGACGGTCTCACCATCATCATATGCAAACCTTAAATGGTTCCAACCAGTATACGATGAACTCCTTAAATAGAATACCTACCTTTTGGATATCTCTTCCTCTCAGTTATGTTAGTAGTTATACCAACTCTTTATGTGGTTCCACAGTTTTCATCACGAGACGATGGGACAGAGTCAACAAAAGTAAATATTGTCTACGCAGCTCTTATCGCAAGCTACTTCATACAAGGTTGTATATGGGGAATGGAAATAGTTTTGGACGTTGTTTTCGAATCAGTACTTGGGGCGAATCACATGGAGCAGGTGTTGGTGTGACAATCGATGGTTGTCCTCCACAGTTGCCACTCACAGTAGATGATATCCAAAAGGAACTGGATAGAAGAAGGCCCGGTCAAAGTAGAATCGTTACGCCTAGAAAAGAACAAGATGAAGCCGAAATCTTATCCGGTGTCGTGGATGGCCAGACGATTGGTACTCCTATAGCAATACTTGTTCGCAATCAAGATCAAAGACCTCAAGATTATGACACCGTTGCAGTTAAATATCGTCCATCTCATGCAGATGCCACTTATGATGCCAAATATGGAATTAGAGCTGTAGCTGGTGGTGGAAGGTCTTCTGCCAGAGAAACTATTGGTAGAGTTGCAGCAGGTGCAGTAGCTAAGAAAATTTTGGCTACTTATTGCAAAATGGAAATTCTGGGTTATGTTCAAAGAGTGAAAGATATTTCTGCTCAACATTTGGATCCCAATCAAGTTACTTTGGACCAGATTGAGAAGAATATGGTTCGTTGTCCCGATGAACGAGTAGCACAAGAAATGATCGAGTTGATAGATAAAGTAAGGCGTAGTGGAGATTCTTTAGGAGGTGTTGTAGAGTGTATCGTAAGAAATGTTCCTGCAGGTTTAGGTTCTCCAGTATTTGATAAGTTGGAAGCGGAATTAGCAAAGGCTTGTATGTCACTTCCTGCTTCCAAAGGTTTTGAGATTGGTTCGGGTTTTAGTGGGACGTATATGACAGGTTCTGAACATAACGATGAGTTTTATATAGATTCGGATGGCCGTACCCGTACACGAACGAATCGTTCAGGTGGTATTCAAGGTGGTATATCTAATGGAGAAAATATTATTTTGAGAGTTGCTTTCAAACCGACGAGTACAATTGGCAAAATTCAAAAAACAGTGAGTAGAAGTGGAGAAGAAGTGGTTGGTATCCTTTGGATAAGTTACAAAGTTCACTTTTAACGTTCAATTAGGAACTGAGAGGGAAAGGTCGACACGATCCTTGTGTACTTCCTAGAGCAGTTCCTATGGTAGAAGCCATGGTGGCTTTGGTTATGGTTGATCAACTTATGCAACAAAGAGCCCAAAGTTTTCTTCCTTTTAGAAAAGAGTCGATTACATTTCATTCTCTTGGAAAGCAATTATAAAGTGGAATGAATAATAACGACGCTTCATACTATTACAATTGTTGGTTTTTCTTTTTCCTTCCAAGTTGTTATTCCTACTGGAGCGACTACTTTGGAAATATATCTCCTTATTTCTTTGCCAGTTTAGGCACTGCACTGGCTGTTGGTCTCTCCGTTCTCGGTGCTGCTTGGGGTATATTTATTACAGGTAGTAGTTTGGTTGGTGCAGCTGTCAAACAACCGAGAATCCAATCCAAAAACTTGATAAGGTAAGAGACTAGGAACATTGCAATGTTTTCTATGAGTAAAGGAAAATAGCGTCATATTTTGTGAAGCTGTTGCCATTTATGGAGTGATTATGGCTATTATTATGCAATCGAAACTTGCAGATGTGACGTCGCCCAGTGCCTTTACTGGTTATGGTTTATTTGCAGCAGGTCTTACAGTAGGGTTATCTAATTTGGCTTGTGGGTAAGAAAGAAGGGAATGATTGGACTGGACTTGGTTTTACAGTATTCTCTAGTCTCTGTGTTGGAATCACTGGAAGTTCTTGTGCTTTGGCTGATGCTCAAGATCCCCAATTGTTTGTCAAAATTTTGATTGTAGAAATATTTGCTAGTGCTTTAGGTATATTTGGTATTATTGTTGGTATTATTATTGCTGGGAAATGTACCTTTGCTGCCTGATAGGATTCATCCTATTTATCCTATTTATGGACATCGTCGAATGGAGCTGATTTGTGGTCTCATAGCGTCCCATAATACTCCTGCTTTATGTGCCGCTATGAAACCTAAAGCTTCCAAATAGTTGCTGGTCTAATTATTCATTATGCATCAATGAAATGAAATACTACAATCCACAATAGTTCTGTATCTTACCTTTATCAAACGATTATCTGATGGGATTGGAATATCTTTCTTTTCGGTACTATTTTCTTCTACATAAAACAAGGCCGTACGTGAATGATACAATTGCTCAACTGCACAAGTATTTTGGTGAACTCCAAATGGTAATACTACCGCATCCAAAGAATCCACCCAAATATCTTCAGCATGTGAGTCTTGACGACTTGTTATATAATGAGGAGCTCTAGAAAGTCCCACTAAAACACTTGTCAAAAAAGTATATCCCAATTCCTCAGCAGCAGACTTGGGATGAATCGTCTTATCCAATGGTAATGGAGATAATGCAGGTGCATGTGCACATGGAACTTGACATTCTTGAGCAACATGTCGAGAAATGAGAGCTTCTGCTCCACCCACAATATCCACTCCATAGCCATGTCGATAAGAATGCAGCAACTCATCATCATCATCTGGAAACCGAGTTACCAACGCTATGGCATCACAATTCTATGCGTATCTCTATTTAGGTTGCAACTAAAAGTCAGTCAATGATCAAGATACTCTTTCTTCTATCAACTTTCGGCTAGCTCGAACCAATAGTTCTAACCCTTCAATTCTACCACTACTTGTCCCATCGTCCGTTATAAAAGTCTCAACATGCAACGCCTATGATTCTTTGATTAGGATAACCCTGAAAGACAATCTAATCAACACAACATGCTTATTTACCTTTTCAGTCAAAGCATAATCAGTCACGGCAATTCCCAATGTGGCTCGAGCAGCATCTGCACACTGAAGATGACGATACAGCAACTCTTCTTCGATTCCACTGTCCAATACCAAACCTACCCGATTCCATCTATCATTCCAAGAATAGAAGAGTAACTAAGAAAGAATAATTTGCAGACTATTTATACCTGACTGGACGAAGACCCCACTTTCCACTAAAAAACTGGTCCATCCCAAATCCTTCTACATAAAGAACGTTGTCCATAGGCCAATACATAAGAGCACTAGCGTTCCAATATAATTGAGTTGAAAAGTGAAAATAGCATTTCTTTACCCATTCAATACATTTGGATGAGCAATCAGTCGATCAACCACAGAAGCAAAGGCTCGAGCAGTAGGCAATCCATCACCTGCATAGCCTCCTATTCTAGCTCCAGTCCTATCAAAACACACATACACATATATTCATTTAAGGATTTTATTGAGTCCATTAATATATTCACTATACCCCGTTGGAATAACCAAAGCTGCAGTATATTCCTTTTGATGATCAGAAAACTGGACACAACAACTAGTCTTCAGGACTGCACTAGAACTATTATAAAGTTTTTTTCCAATATATATATATATACATATATATATTCTAATATGGTTACCTTTTTCTAATACTATAGTTGTTCTTTTTATATCCTTTCCCAACTTTATGGAAAACAAAAGCTCTTTCTGTACCAAGCCAAGTACAAGATAAAAAGGCCATGAAAAGATGATTTCATTCTATTCTTTTCCAATATCTCATATGAAAGATGAGTCACAACCATTTTATGATGGACTTTTGTCCCACAAAAATCATGTATGATATATATGTATATATATATATATAGAGAGAGTTATGTATCTATTTACTGTCCTTGAGGCATTCCCATAAACGCTCGAGTATTACTATTATTATTATTATTACTATTATTATTATTATTGGGAAATAAGGTCGAAGTAGAATAGTTGTTAAAATGGGAACTATTTCCTCCTCCAATATTCTTCCATGGAAAATAACGTAAATTGGAAGGAGTAGCATTAGCTGGACTTTGTCCGGATAATAAAAAAATACTTGGAGACATATTCTCTGGATACAATTCCATATCCAAGGACCCTGTCAGAGGAGTTAATCCTGAACCTGCTCCATAACTCCCAACAAATAAAGTAGAAGACCATGAAGCATCTTCTACACCATAAACACTGTAATTATTATTTCCCAATGAGTCTCTACCAGGAATAGGCACTGCTCTTCCATGAATAGGAGGTAATATGGGAGGATTATTAGGGGAATATCCATATAAATTATTGGATGCCAACAAGGATCGATTCCAAGAAGAACTATAATTATTCATCACATTCGAAGACTGCCATAACATATTGTTGTTATTATGATGTTCATTCCAAGCTGGTGATTGTGCAGTCCCTTCCATGGGATGAACTTGATCTGTTCCTGTATCCAATACTATGTTTCCTTGGTCCAACAATACTCCAGAGTTACTATCCAATGACATGGAAATATTCTCATGTGACAGCGAATCCCTTTCAGACACTTGTTCTTCTCTCAAAACACAGGGTCCATCTAAACCTTCATTGGTCACAAAACTATCCTGTGTAGTTTGACTTGGTTCTAAAACAGTTCCATCACGAGAACGAGATGAAATATCCAGCGAAGGTGACTCTCTCTTATTGACTAATCTTCCCTTCTTGGTTTCCGATCCTACCATAGAACTGTCTCTATCTTGACCCACATACACTTCACACTCTGGATGTTTAGCTAAATAAGCTTCCACATTCTTTCGTAAGGGTGCTGCATTTCCTGTTATCTTGCGTTCCTCTATCTTATTCCACATGGGAACATGCTCGTTACCAGCTACTATGGTGGAGCCTGTCTTAGGGTCAACTGAACCAATAGCTATGCCACCACTCAAATTCTTGTCTTGACCAGTATATACTTCACATTCGGGATGTTTCGCTAAATATCGTTCTAAATTTCTTCTCAAAGGTGCTGCATTACCAGCGACTTTTCTGCATTCTATGCGGTTCCATATAGTTACATGTTGGGAGGCCTCTTCTGGGGTCATCGTGTCCATTGCCATATCAGCTGTTTCACTGTTGCTAGAATAGCTCGTTTCTATCAACCCCCTTCCTCTACTCAATCGTTTTTCAGAAACTTCAAACTGCTGTTGGTTAAGACCAGCTCTTCTCGTTTCATAAGGTTGTCCAGGGAACATGACGAAAATATCTCTACAAATATGGCTCTTTCCAAAAAGTATGCGTTTTCGTAAAGAAACAAAAATATCAATCACATGAAATAATTTCCAAACACACTTTCTCTCTCTCTCTCTCTTTTCAATAGTTGTGTCCTCGTGTTCTGACACCAACTCCCGAATGTCGAAATTAACCCCAAGTGTTGGGAATAACATATGAAAGGATGATGTTGCTCTGTACTCTTTTCAGGAAACCGGCAGAAAACAATATAAACTTGAAATTATCTTCAAACATGCAACCTCAGCTTTATTGACTTTACTTTTTCATCCATGCTAAGAGAGTATTCTGTCTCTTGATTTTCTTCTGCAACTGCAACAACCCATATACCAATGCTTCTGCAGTTGGGGGACAACCAGGTACATAAATATCTACAGGTACAATGCGGTCACAACCACGAACTACTGAATAAGAATAATGATAATAACCACCACCATTGGCACAACTACCCATGGAAACTACCCAACGAGGTTCTGGCATTTGGTCATATACTTTACGCAAGGCTGGTGCCATTTTGTTGGTAAGTGTTCCAGCTACTATCATAACGTCGCTTTGTCTTGGTGACGGACGAAAAACTATACCCATGCGGTCCAAGTCGTATCTTGGAGCAGCAGCGTGCATCATCTCTACAGCACAACAAGCCAAACCAAAAGTCATTGGCCACAAAGAATTGCTTCTAGCCCAATTACAGAGGTCATCTAACTTGGAAACTACGTATTCTAAAGACCCTTCAGGTTTGGATAAAGGTACAGGAGAGTCACTTGGAGACAGGGAGGCAAACCCTCTTCTCAAACTGTCAGTCGTTGTTGTTGTTTGCTTTCCTACTGTTGAGAGACGAACATAACGACTCAATTTTTGGAATACTGCAGTGCTTTTCATATGTTATACGAGTCTCTAATACAACACTTGTAACAGCGACTGAATTCGACTGATGAAAGTTTTTCACCCAATTCCAAATGGAAAATTGAAACACTATTTATACTCGGTTGTCATTTTCTTTGTCTATAGAAAAAAAAAGTCAGTTCGTCTGAAATGGCGCCAAAATGTAAAGAAGTCTTATTTTCCATTTTCGACGGAGTAAACTCGATAACATAATCGGATTGTTTTGGTGAATTGGATTGTATGAACGCAAGAGAGCCATAAGGAGCGATATAACCTGATATATTTGTTATCGAGTACCGTTATCTTTTTAGTCTTGTGTATCGTTTGAATTTTTGGTCATGTCGTTTCCTCCAAAGTTCCGAAACTATTTATTAGCTCAAAAAGGTCAGCCTGTTTCAGTAGAACAACTGGAACAAGTTGCCGACCAACGTAAGTCCTATTTCCAAAGACAACAATCACCAGCTTCCAGTAGTAGTACTGCTTGGAGTGAACAAAAAGAAACTGAGATAGTAGACTATTTATTGCCACTATTGTCTATAATTGCTGCCTTTTCGGAAAGTCAACTGGACGAGCGTTTGGAACGCCCTTTGGTTGCATTGTTGCGTTGCTACGAAGAGTTTTTACATAGTGGAAAAAAAGATTGGTTGCAATCAAGAGAGGAAGCTTTCCAGCATTGGATTGCGGACAAGTTGGGTTGGGTTTGTGATAGTCAACAAGCGCAGAATTTCTTATCTCTATTGGACTCGCTAGCAAGTGATACCAAAACCTTGCTGATTTTTCGACGAGGAGAAGAAAAATGTCTATCGAGACAATTAGAACGCTGTTTTCATCGAGCTTGCCAAAGACGACGATGGGAAAACTATGTCAAGTCATCAAATAATGAATTTCTTCAATTGGATCAACCAAAAATACCGGTTGCGACAGACGAATGGTTGAGTTGTTATCCGGAGTGGAACAGCGAATTTGAGCAGGAAATATTGCAAAAATTGGAAAAGATACGAAAGCAAGTCAACAAGGAAGAAAATGTGTCCCCTATACAAGAGATTTATGACAGATGTAGAGAATGTTTTCGACAAATGTATTCTTTAAACGAGCAACAACAACAAAAGAATGTATCATTAGAAGAAGAAGAACAAAAGGTTTTAGATGACTGTATGCAATCTATTTTTGGTGTCCTTACGACATCTCAATCTTCAGAACAACTGCAGGAACAACTTTTTGATCTGGTTGGAGATTTTGAATTGGTTTCGGAACTTTTACAGCGTCGAGAAGAGTTGATTCGTGTTTATTATCCTAAAGAAGAAGATGAATATATACAAAGTGCTTCTTCTTTGGCTGAAAGTTCGAATGCGACAAATGCTTCTTCCATTCGTACTCAGTCTATGTTATCTGAACAGTTGGAAGCTTTATCTCTTCAAGGCGAGAATGGCTACTATGCAAATGAACCATTCCTAAAAATGAGTTTGCCAAAAGGAAGTACGCGTCAAAGCTATGTAGGTTATGAAGAATATTGGATACCACCAACAAATAATAGAATACCGGATGAAAACCATCTTTTGAGAATATCACAAGAAGTAGATTCCTGTTTTCTTCCAGTTTTCAAAGATATTACCTTTTTGAATCCTATTCAATCCAAGGTTTTTCATACTGCTTATCATACCAATGAGAACCTTTTGATTTGTGCTCCAACGGGGGCAGGTAAAACCAACGTTGCTTTATTAACTGTTCTTCATGTATTGAAAGATAAATTAATTCATCATCAAGTAACTGATGGACCTCGAATCGTCTATATAGCCCCCATGAAAGCTTTGGCTTCTGAAGTTACCGAGAATTTTAGGCGACGTTTAAAGTGTTTGGAAGTTGTTGTAGAAGAAATGACTGGAGATATGCAACTGAGTTATCAAGAAGCGAAAAAGACGGACATGATTGTTACTACTCCTGAGAAATGGGATATTGTTACTCGCAAAGGTACCGATAGTTCAGATGATTCAAGTCTCCATGCAAATTTACAACTTTTGATTATCGATGAAATTCACTTGTTACATGAACTTCGTGGGGTTATTTTAGAAGCAGTCATTGCAAGAACCTTGAAAATGGTGGAGAGAAATCAAAGAATGATAAGACTCGTTGGTTTATCTGCAACATTACCCAACTATGAAGATATTGCTGAATTTTTAAGGGTGAATAGAGACCAAGGTCTTTATTATTTTGATGCATCTTATAGACCTGTTCCTTTATCTTTAACATTTATTGGTTTGAGTTCTCGTCTACCCGAAGAGGAAGGAGAACTACAACAACAACAACTGGAAAAGGAAAGTTTGACCAGTCTTGTGAACGAAAAGATGCCAAAAAAGAAGACCGATGCTATACAATTGCGTCAAGAATGGATGAATAAGCTTTGTTTTGAACAATTACAAAAATTTCTACAACGTCAACAACAAGTCCTGGTATTTGTTCATTCCCGACATGATACGTCAAGGACAGCAAGAGCTTTTCTTCAGTATATCAACAAACATGGTCTTTCTCATTTATTAGGTGATACAGATGAGGAGTCCACCAACCCAATAAAAGTGGGACAGTTCAAGTCTTCCGATTTGCGAGAGTTTGTTTCGTCAAACGTTGCCATCCATCATGCTGGATTGTTGCGTTCTGATCGTTCCTATGTTGAAGAACTGTTTCGACAGGGCTTATTAAGAGTTGTCATATGTACTGCAACTTTAGCATGGGGAGTCAATCTTCCAGCACATGCCGTAATCATTAAAGGAACACAAATCTATGATGCTTCTCGTGGTGGTTTTACTGAATTGGGTTTGTTGGATGTTATGCAAATATTTGGACGAGCAGGCAGACCTCAGTTTGATACGGAAGGAGAGGCGGTAATGATTACCACACATCAGCAATTACCCTTTTATTTAAGATTGCTTACTAGCCAGTTGCCCATTGAAAGCCAATTATGTCATTTGAGTTGTTTAGCAGACCATTTGAATGCAGAGATTGTACTTGGAAACATTTCCAATGTGATGCAGGGAGTGGAGTGGTTAGAGTACACCTATCTTGCAACTCGAATGCGTAAGAACCCCTTAGCTTATGGAATCTCATGGCAAGAATTGTTGTATGATCCCAGTTTGATGACCAAAAAGCGTGAAATGATCATCGCAAGTGCCAAAATATTAGATGAAGCCAGAATGATTCGTTTTGACTCCTTAAATGAGGTCTTTTACAGTACCGAACTGGGAAGGATTGCTTCCCACTTTTATGTTTGTAATGGAACGGTTCATAAATGGAACGAAATGTTGAGAGCAGATTTTACAGACTCGGAAGTCATTCGAGCTTTGAGTATGGCTGATGAAATGGAGACTATAAAATTTCGAGATGATGAATTACCAGAGTTGCTAGAATTATCTAAAAAGTGTCCTATTCGTATTCTTGGTGCATTGGAAAACTCCAAAGTGGTGATACTTTTACAAAGTTATATTTCGAGGTTACCCATTCACACATCAGCTTTGATATCCGATACTCAATTTATTGTACAAAACGCCGGTCGATTGGCACAAGCTTTATTTGAAATAGTTTTAGGAAGAGCATGGCCAAGTCTTTCTTATACAATATTGCAATTGTGTCGTTCATTACAACGTAGGATATGGCCATTTCAACATCCACTTCGTCAACTGGCTGGAGATGGAGAACGCAAGAAACATTCTTCCAACAAACATCCTCACATATCTGCTGAAATTTGTTACAAGTTGGAACAATTAGGTCCTAGTGGAGAATTTTCTCACTTAACGGAACTTGGTGTCGATGAGTTATCTAGTGCACTTCGAGCACCTCAAGCAGCTAAAAATGTCATGCGTTGTATATCTTTGGTACCACAACTTTATTTAGAAGCAGAAGCATTTCCATTGACATCCACTGTCATTCAAATACAATTATCCTGGAAACCACATTTTTATTGGAACGATCATTTACATGGTATATTAGAAAGTCAAGAAAGACATCCAGAAAGTTGGTGGTTGTGGGTAGAAGATACGGAAACTGAACAAATTTATCATTCGGAACAAATTTCAGTAACCAAACGATTAGCGCAAGAGTATTGGAAGCATCCAGATAAGGAACCACAAACCAGGAATTTTTCCATTGCTGTTTATGAACCGATTTCTCCGCAATATGTGATACGTGCATGTTCTGCCCATTGGCACAGCGCAGATACTGTCGTTGCTATTTCCTTTTATGGAATGCAGTTGCCTCGACATGAAACTGTGTATACGAATTTGCTGGATTTACAACCTTTGCATCGCTCCTGTTTGTTTTTGGGTAGTCATTTGGAACAAGTTTTGTATCCCAATATTCGTTATTTTAATCCATTGCAAACTCAAGTATTTCATGTTGCTTATCACACGGATGAAAATATATTGTTTGCTGCCCCAACTGGTTCAGGTAAAACTGCTATTGCGGAGTTTGCTATGTTACGTTGTATGAGGACTACAAAAGAACGAGGAATCATGGGACTTCCTGGTCTTATCGTGTACATTGCACCTTTGAAAGCTTTGGTACGAGAAAGAGCGCAGGATTGGAGAAAACGTTTCGGTGATCCCAGTTTAGGTAAAGTTATTGTCGAGTTGACTGGAGATGATTCTCCTGCTAATATTTCAACGACATTGAAATATGCGGATATCATTTGTACTACACCTGAAAAGTGGGATTCCATATCTCGAAGTTGGAGGAGAAGGAAACAAGTACTTGAAGTGACATTGTATATATTGGATGAAGTGCATTTATTGGGATCTGAGAGGGGTCCCGTATTGGAAATGATAGTGTCACGTGCGAAGAGATTGGCACTGAAGCACAACATTCCTGTGAGATGGATTGCTTTATCCACAGCATTGGCTAATCCTGTTGACCTGGCTAGTTGGCTTGGAGTAGAAGACGTAGGAATGTTCAATTTTCGTCCGAGTGTTCGTCCTGTACCTTGTGAAGTACATATTATGGGTGTTGCAGGTAAAAATTATAGTCCACGAATGACTGCCATGAACAAACCAGCATATCAAGCCATTAGACAATATTCACCTCACAAGCCTGTTCTTATCTTTGTATCTTCTCGAAGACAAACGAGAAGGACAGCTTTAGAAATGATCCGATGTGCAGCATCTGATGGAAATCCTCATTTCTTTCTCAAATCAGATATCTCTAAAGAATTTGCCTCCATTGAAGACTCCAGTTTGAAGAGTACTTTGGAATATGGAGTAGGTATTCATCATGGAGGCTTATTAGAAAATGACCGCATAGTAGTTGAACAGCTTTTTGCTTCCGGTAAAATTCATTTGTTGGTTAGTACTGCAACTTTGGCTTGGGGTGTCAATCTTCCTGCACATTTGGTTATTATCAAAGGAACTGAATATTATGATGCGAAATCGAAAACTTATGTAGATATGCCAATCACAGATATTCTTCAAATGATGGTAAGCCTAACACTATTGCATCATATCAATTCTCATCAACATCCGTAATTTAGGGTCGTGCTGGTCGTCCACAATACGATGAAAAATGTTTTGCTTTTATTTTAGTTCATGAACCGAAGAAAAACTTTTATAAGAAATTTTTATACGAGCCATTTCCCGTGGAGTCCAATTTATTGAAACAATTGGAAGATCCTATCAATGCTGAAGTAGCTGGTGGTTGGATTCGAACAGCACAAGACGCTGTGGATTTTCTTACTTGGAGTTTCTTTTTTCGGCGATTATTGTGCAATCCTGCTTATTATCATTTGCAAAACGTAACTGCGAAAGATATATCGGAATATGCATCTCGTCTAGTACAAAATATTTTACAACGACTTGAAAAGGCAAACTGTATTACTGTCTTTTCATCAGAAGAAGAAACGGGTCAAGTGGATAACGATGTATCACAATCACCCAAACGTTGGTTGGAACCACAAGTGGAAAGACAACATCAACAAATTGTGAATGCTTTACAATCCAGTCGTACCGTCAATCTCTCGCCGATTGTTGCATCCACATTTTTTGGAAAGGTTGCAACTTTTTATTACTTGTCTTATAAAAGTGTTGGATGGTTGGCCAAAGTATGGACCCAAGGAGCCACCTTTATGACCGTTCTTATATGGTTAACAAGTTGTGAAGAATTTTCCGATATTCCTGTGAGACACAATGAAGATAACATCAATGCCGCATTGTTACAAGAAATTCAACAACAAATTTCTTTTTTAGCATCCAATCATAACGTTATAGCTTCTGCTTCTTTATATCAAGAAACTGTGTCTACATTGGAAAGAATTCATCAAACGGGTGATATGGAAGATCCTCATTGTAAAGCGCTGTTATTATTTTGTGCTCATTTGAGTCGTTGTTCTTTTTCGGTTGTTGATTATCATACCGATCTATTGACCGCATTGGAACAAGCTGGACGAGTTTTACAAGCAATGATTGATATTGCTATACAACGCGATGACATTGCCACTGCTATTACTTGTATTCATTTGAGTCAATGTTTATCTCAAGGTTGTTGGCCTTGGGAGTTTACATTTTTAAGAGTGATTAAAACACATTTACCTGAATGCGAACAGTGGTTGGTACAACAGTGTGGGATAAAGGAAACAGGTCAGGACTTTTATATGCATTGGAAAGATAGAAAAGCTTCTTGGTTACAGTCATTGGAAGAAAAACAACGACATACATTACAAAGATTATACTCCACTGTACCCGTTGTACAAATGCAAGCGCTATGGGACTTTGGTAACCATAACATTTTAGTGAAATGGAATGATAAAAAGCAACCTCGTGGTCTTTGGATATATCAAAAAAGGAGAGCTAATCAAGAAACTTGGTATTTAATACTGATAGACACAACTAGTGGCGGAATAGGTGCATTTCGAAGAATTCGATCATCCAAAAAAAATATAAATAAGATGCTATACCCAGAGAATGATTTGAATGGAGAGTCCTCAGCTCTTCTTTTACTGTCAGCAAATTATCGAGGAGTCGATCAAATGTGGCGTTGGGTGGACAACAAGTCTCAATTTCTTTCCAGTTATCAAGTTGCATGGAATGAATAAAACTTGGTTACCACTTTATTGCAACATGGAGCTGTCATCATCGCGACTATTCTTCATATCAAAATATCTTTTTCAATGGTGTGCCATAAATATTCCGCAATTCTACTTTGTGCTGCAGGAACTGGATGAAATGCCGATACTCCATAATTACCTTGCGGAGCAACAGGACCTAACGCTGCTAAAATAGGAACCTCTGAAAAGATCGTTTCAATATCTTCTTCCAACGAGACTGTCGGACCATATGCCCATTCCTCATGGCCACTACAATATTCATGATGTTTCATCAATTCGCGAATATCATTGACATAAGAACTACTGTCGGTTGCTGCAGTGAGCACTTTGGAGTTGAGTTCTTCCAACAATTGTTTGATTTGTGTTATTTTGGTACTGTTGTTCACCAAACCAGCCATATCGGGACATTGTAAGAGATTATTTTCATTGGTTGGATTCAAAGGTGAATAATAGGTTTGTACAATGATATGCGGCATTTTGTGAATAGCAGCACTAACATTGCCTTTAAGATAACTTATAGCTTTGACATATTCACTAGAAGTAAATACTCGAGTGCTTGTTAATGAAGAGGTCGATAAATTCAGTTGTTGTATCGTATTGAGGACATTTTGCAAAGAGACACCTACGTCAAGCGAAACTTGATAAATAGCTGTATCCACTAAAATCTGGGCAATATACTGATCATATGCTTGTTTCACTACCGCTGCAATTTCATCCAAAGGTGTTGGCTGCCCATCATCCGCTCCAAAACTCAACACGAGGATAGGAATATCATCGTCCGACCAGGAAATGGCCGACCAACTATCAACTAGTTGTTGAAGTTGAGAGAGTGTTGCATTTTTGGAAAGCTGAGGTTCTAAAAGACCATTGTGAATGGCACCGCCCGTACAAGCAAAATTGAAAACTTCTACACTTGCTTTGGTCTGGTTGACGTAAAAAGGCAATTGAAAAACGGAAGCAAAAGGAGAACGATGACACTCAGGATACGGTCCTAGCCAGTGTGGATGAAGATCTGTTGGTCCATTCCATATCGTACGAAGGTACTGAATGGCGTAATTGGGACTGGTGGTGTAACAGGGATTATAGGTTAACCCATATAAAGTACCTTCTCCAGAAGCTACAGAATCACCCAATGCAGCAACTCTAAGGTTAGGCTTAGCTTCTACACGATAAACTAGGAAAAATAATAAGAACGAAATAAGAAAATTACTAGAGCGCGTCATTGCTATATAAGTCTAAATAAACCAAAACCCCCCAAATGAAATAGAATTAACTAATTGGGGTAGCAGGTGCGGACCTCCCTGACTTTGTCCCGTGGAATTCAACATCACATTGGATGACTAATGGCTCAGTAGCAGCCGAAACACATTCGGAGTGGAGTAAGAAAGCAACAGATACCCTTAAGAACTCAAACTTTTAAAAAGTGTCGAAATTCCCTCTGAGAATACTTTGAGTGTAAAAACCTCAGTTGAATGATATTCTCAAACTTATCTGAAAACTGTTCTTTTTAAAAGTCACTTGTTGAATTGAAAAACAATGATCAGAATACAAAAAAAAGCGTATTGATAGTCTAGTTTAGCATCATAGACCAACTTGAATGCTTCTTGACGCTCAAAACAAAGTTACTAATATATCTTTTCGTTTTAAACAATCTCAAGAAATTTTAAAGATCTGAAGTGGGTTCAGATGGCTTTGTTTCAAAATAATAAAAGGATAAAAACATTTTCAAATAGCCAAAAGTTTAATTTCTCAAAAGAAAAAATAAGCAAAAATATTAAAAAAATACAGACAAACATTGACCGTTTTCCAGTCACGTCAACAAAGAAGAAGGCCATAGGCGGATCAAAATAATCCTTATGAAGGCTATACTCTTCAGGGCTTGGGTTTTGTTTTCGCAATCAATTGCACTAGGACTCTAAAGACAACTCTTTATTCCGTCACTTTAACACTAGTCATGCGTTGAAGAAATGAAATAAAGCAACCTTTACTGACAAAATAACCTGTCGTACAAAATCCAAAAACTTCAAGAACCAACAGAAGAATTGCAAGACAGCATGGCGTTAAATGGAATTCCATGATAATAAAAGTCATTGACTAAAGAAAAATTTAAATGGCCATTAAGTTTAACTACTTACGTTTAGGAGTCGATTTGGAATTAATAAAATAATCTACACAAGTCTCTTTTACGACATTTAATTTCTATGAAATAATATTATTTTTTTCATTAAAATTTAACCTTGAGTTATTTCTGTTTTTCAAATCATGTAATCTCATTGAACAGACATTCAAAGAAAAATGATAATAGAGTTAAATTGTTTGGGAATTAGTTTTTTGTATTATTTTCATAAATATTTTGTGAGAACAAAGTAAATAGCTGGAATGATTTAATTAATAAATAGTTTTGTCATTTGTTAAAAGTGCCTCAAGACAAATTCTTTTTTGGTACCCGTATTGACAGTTTTATATACTAAACGATTCTTGCACACATGGCATTTCAAAGATTTGTGAGAGTTTAATCTTTAAAAACCTATAATCCTCCAGTACAGAAAAAGTCGTAGCTTTTCAGGAAATTGTGTGCTATCAATATTCTATACGCCTCTTGCTTAGTTAGTAACGATATTTATGCCCTTTGGGTTCTTTGTTACAACCCTAGTATCACACGACTAGTGTGGCTGCTCTGCTTTGTCGGCGAACGTTGAAATGTGCTCAGGACTTGGTCTTATGAGGCAAGATCCTATTTATTTGGAACACGATACGGTTGCAAAGAGTTTACCATCGCTTGACTGGTTTGAAGGGTTTCAGATCTTCTTTACGATGAGTTTCGTCAACCTTTCAACAAACAAATACACAGAAAACTTGGATCATTTATTGCTTCGACTCTTCTTCCCACCCAAGCTGCTTCTTGATAAAATCATAAGGTTCTGAGTAATCAGTTGCGTCATCACCAAAGCCGTTCTCAAACAAAAAACGCCAACCACTTACCGATAAACCAAAACAGTGCGAGGCCTGCTGCCAAACCCCATCGACAAGCAGCAGCCGTATCGGGTACTTTCCATCTTCTTACAACCCACTGTGTTCTACGAAATATTTTGGGCAGTTCAGGGGACGTAAAGTCTGCCTCCTTCACGCTGAACCGTGCCATTATGAACACAACACCCAAACAAGAATGATGGGGATGAAATGAGGGATATTTGAAAACGACTCTACTACATTTTCCAACAGTTTATAAGAAATGAGTAGTTTCTGTATATAGTGTACATATTCTGTCAATATATTGTGTGTATCTTTTACAAAGCATAGTGGACAGGAAAACATGTTTAATCATCAATCAGGTTTGGATGGTACATCCACTCAGTATTCTCCGACGAATAGAAACTTGTAACAAACTATGCCTAAACAAAGTGTAAAGAGAACCAACGGACAACCACAATCTACAGACCAGCGTAAGTAGTTGTTTTCATTCTAGTGTACTAGAGAACCAAAATCATTCTCTTCAAAGAACTTGGTACATATCAAGAACTTTCAGAGTCGTTTGTGAGTGTACCACTTTCATCAGAACCACCACCAGATAGTCATTCTCCATTTGTTTTGGAGGACGAAGAGTTGTTTTCTTCAGCTCTTCGACATCAAAACGAGCAGGAGTGTTCTTCCGAGTCCCAAGTAGATAACCTATTTGAGCTATTGGGTTCTTCAGATGGAGGTGGTGTGAGCAAAGAAGACATTCGTGTGCTTTTAGATATTTATGATGGAGATGTGGATAGAGTAGCTAGTTGTTTATTGGAACAGGATTTCTCTTCATTACAGTTGGTGAAAGACTTTCAGTTGGCCCATACGCTTCAAGAAGAAGAACAACGACATTCTACTCGTTTTATTCAACAACAAGAAGATGATACGACTACCTATAGTGGAACACCACTTCCAGCTTCTTCACGTGAACGTTTTATTCATTCTGTGAAGGAAATTTTGATTCCTCAACTTGCCAACGAACTGGTTGGAATGCACTTTCCGGATATAGAAAACGATGGACAGAAATACGAGTATCATTTACGCAATCTTTCATTGGAGTTGTTGAATATTCCAATCGATCGAGTGCAAGTAACAGTAACCCATCCCGATATTCATGTGGATTGTGAAGATGTAGAATTGAAGATAGCCGTTGGTCATTGGGAATATCATAGAAAAGGTACTTTAAGTTTTCAAGATGATGGCCAAGCCCATGTTATTTTAAGTGGTATTCATGTTGGTTTGATCATTCGGTCTCACTTGGAGCAAGAACAAGAGTTGCCACATTTAGGTGTTCGCAAATGTATCGTTTCAGTGGGAGAAGTGCGTTTTCGATTTGCAGGTACAAAAGCCAGTTGGTTATATAATCTATTATCAACTCTTTTTCAAAGTCAATTGAAAAAGAATGTCGAAGCTGTATTACAAACCACTGTTTCCAGTGCTGTAGATAGTCAATTGAATCAATGGACACAATGGATATTTGCTCAGAATGAATAGAATGTTATTATTCTTTTCACCAACTTGTGGTTATCGTATCATAAACTTTACCAAGTTGTTTTTTGTTCGTAGATTAAGGAATAATACTAAAAGTGGACGTTGTAGTTGGTTTCAGTCGAGTTTCAAATGGACTGCGTCTTTATTATTACCCGTAGTACTTTGTAATAAAAAACGAGTGTCCTTTTGTACTATGAACCATAATTGTGCTAGGAATAGAACAAAGAACGTGTTGATAACGAGTATCAGTGTAGTGGTTTATGGAACGTTGTTATTCTATTATTGGATAATACGCATATTGAGAAAGATACAACAACTAGTTTGGGAGTTGAGTTGGTTAGTCGTGTATTCGTTTCAACAATATAGACAAGCTTGTGGACGAAAACCTTCAGATGGTATCCTAGTTGATAGAATAGAAGGTGGTGATGATTGGGTCACACGTGAAGAGTTTCAACAACTTGCCAAGGATGTCAAGATATTGAGTGAAATAGTAGCTCGACATAATATTCATTTATACAAAGCATTGAGAGAAGCTCCTAAAGAAGACCCATAAGAACACGTCATCATTTCCTTAATCTGAATAAAGCCATTCTTCCTTTCCACGTACTTTACGCACCCTCAATCTTCTTGCTCAACGAAAAGAGATTCAGCAACGTTGGACGTCAAATGATATTTGTGGTTTGATCCACCGCGCACTGTATAACATGAAAAAGCCAATCACAGAAAAGTGTTGGATAGTTGGAAAAAAGAATATGTGGATTGCTTGGTTGACTGTGGCTATTTGTGCTTTGTGGTTGATGTGGAATATGGGGAAACATACTTCTCGGTGGTTATCTCCACACTCCACTATGGATAAGTCAATATGTCCCAACTTTTATTTCGACTTGGGAAGTAATGTGGGAGACTCTATTGTTCATTTTGTGTTGCATAATATTACAAGTGTGGGTTCAACTTCCAGTGCGTTGAGAAGATTTGCCAACCGCATAGGAGTTGTATCGAGTGAATATTGTGTTTATGGTTTTGAAGGAAATCCAATATTCAATGATGGACTCAAAAAGTTGGAGCAACTGTTACAAGGATATACGAAAAAGACAGAAATAAGGACGGAAACAGTGGTAACCGATGAAGATGGCACAACTCAATTGTATTTGGACTTGGTCAATGAAGATCACCATTTTTGGGGTTCTTCTATTCACAACGATACAAGAGATATCGTCAAAAGTGGTTCTCAAGCAGTCAATGTTACTGCTGTGGATTTTGCCAAGTTTTTGAAGCAACGAGTGGTGGATAAAAGAGAATGCAAAGGAACTGTTCCTATGGTAGTAGTTCGAATGGATATCGAAGGTGCAGAATATCGAGTCATAAGAAGCTTATTTGAACAAGGTCTTTTGTGTCATTATATTGATTATTTGATTGTAGAGTTTCATGAGGATAGTGCACCCATCAACAGTTCCATTCCACAAGTGTTGGCTTGGTTCATGGAGAATAATGATCGATGTCAAACTCAATTTATATTTGAAGATATAGAAAATGACTATTGAAAGTGAGAAAAGAGAACAAGGTTACCTCGATTATCTGTCATTGCCATATATTGACCATCCATAGAAATATTTCCTAATCCAGTCAATCATCATCCATAGAATAGGAACATTTTCAACTTACCTTGCATAGCATAAAAAGAATAATCATTTTCTTGACAAGTAACTTTCCATAATCTTGTTGCATAGGAATGTTGATGGTCATCGTTACTTTTGTAAGGATTCCATGTCCAAACTTCACTACTCGGTGAACCAAATAGACACCATCGAGGACAATTATCAAAATGACATATATTTCCTATGGCTTTCATTCCCGTAGTTATCCAAGTAACATGGTTTTGTTGTTGATCATCATCGTCCCAACATCTCATATCTAAAAGACTGAGATATCCATCACCATATCCCATCACAATATCATTCCTATAAATATACAAAAGTATTCATATATGATTACAAAAAATATCTATGAATAAAGAATTACTCTTTGACGTGATGTGAAAACATTTCTTGTTTATGCGCATTCCAATGAAATGCTTCCCTTCTTTGTCTAATATCCCAAGCATAAAATATTCCGTAATCAGTACTAGTGGTAATCATATGAGGAACTGAATCGACCACTTGAATGCTACTAAATGAGTGTCTTATAGGTGACCAATTCATCCATTGTCCTGAAAGGATATGATATTGTGTCAAACTTCCATCTTCGTGAGCACACCATAAAGTCTTATCGTTGATAGAATAGGCCATTTCTCTTATAGTTGCTTTAGTAAGTGACTCTTCATTCGATTGTAAATGGGATTTTGTGATAGAATCGATAAGTAAGAGTTGGTCATTCTCTATTTGAAAGAAATGCAGTGAAGAATCTTCAAATGCAGCAACTATCTTATCGGATGAAATACTTATCACATCATCTATAGCACAAGTTGTTACATAACCATTCCATTGCAAAGTCATTGGAGTGTGAGAAAGACAATCAGAAAAGGAAACAGCAAATAGTTCATGTTTAAGATAGGATGGTTGTAATGGAATGCTACGAGTACCTAAGATGATGAGTGACTTTTCTGAAAGTATAACTGGACGTGTACAAAGAGGAATAACTGGATTTGACTTTAGAGTTTGAGAAGCAACACTATTCCAATCCAATATACAAACATCGAATAATTTCTTCAACATGATAATGGAAGAAAAGAATAAAGAAAATATCCTTCTTTATATATCAAGAAATAGACAAATGACTCATTTTCTGTTGGCAAAACGATAAATTCATTCAAAGAAAAAAAGAAGAATGGGTAAATATGATATTGGATGGTCACTTTTCTTACAGGTCATCTTTTATGATATACATACACAACTTTAGGTCTTTGGAACAGATGTCAAACGACTAGACTCCCACTTGGCTTCAAACTGAGACTTTAATTTCTAAATCAACAGAGTTTGTTTTCTCTATGGGAAGACATTTTGTGCTTACTTGTTTGGTACGTATTTGTTCTCCAAGTATTTCCATTTCTTTGTTTAGACTACTTATCAACGTATCATAATCCTCCAACACAAATAAACGACCCACGCTTTGATAACTATACTCCCCCATAACACACAAAAAAAAAAGAGAATCAAACATAATTCATGAATAATCAAAGTGCTGTTGTACATACACGGTAGGTTTGTGATGGGTGCTAGCTTGCAGTTGCTATTCCAAATACTTAAACTCAAAATAGATTCAAAACAATTAATTACCTGCAACGTAATTTCTTTGATTCTTTTTTCCCGTTCTAGTGACTCTATTTGTGAAGCAAGAGTATAGATGTGTCTTTGAAGTTCATATAAACGTTGCAAGTCTTCCTTACGCAATTGCCCAACGGTTTCTTCCATCGATTTTACAAATCCACAACAAAATGGAGTTTATTCATCTCTTTGAATGATCACTTATCGGTTTTCATGGATTCTATCACAGAGCTTTCAAAATAGATATCATTCTTCTCTGAATCTTTTTCAAAGGATGATGATGAATGAAAGAGAATATCTTCTTCTTCACAACGAGGATCATAAGTTCCCATTTCTTCCGAATTTTTTAAAAATTCTGCATATCTTTGTTTTCCTAATCGATATGTGTTCCAATATGCTGAAAACAATGTAAGGTCCTTGTAATCCACAGGTAAGGAAGCTACATAATCGAGTCGTTTCTTGGTCAACAAATTTTCTCTTCTTGCTAAATAAGCAGCAAATGAAGTACAATATTGACGATATTGGGATGCAGATGAGAAACATTTGTTTTTAAGAAATCCCAACCCGTTGAAATCTCCATCAACTTGTACTTGGTCCAACTGTTCTTGACCCACTCCCCAATGGACGGCAAAACGTGCAGCATAACGACGACGCAATTCTACAAACCTGGTATCTTCTCCAAGTAAGGAACGATGAGAATATTCGGGAACAAAAAATGTACAAATAATGAGACCTAGAAATTCCATTCCTCCATAAAACCACATCGTCTTTCTTAATCCTTCATCATTTTGTTGTACTCCACCTGACCAATTACGCCATATTGTTGGAAAAGTGGTAGTGCCTACAATACCTCCCATCTTTCCTAAGGATGATGCAATACCATACATAGTGGCCCGAATTCTGGTAGGAAATGCTTCAGCAGGAACCAAATAAACTGGTATAAATACAAAGTTTTGAAACCTAAAAGAAACATCGAAATAGATTTTCATAAATACAAAAGATAAAGAGAAATACCAACCCTCCAACAAATGTACTCCATATGATCCAAGCAATGGGTTGGGCTTTCAATTGCCAAAAGAATCCAGTGTTGATAATCTGAGTAGCTGCTAAGAACAACCAACCAAACATTTCTGTCTTTCTACGTCCCCACTTATCAACCACAAAAGCTGCAACAAATGGCATCCAAACACCCCAAGCAGCTCCTTCAGCTAAAGATAACCATACAGACTTGAATAATGATACTCCAATAACATGTTGGAGAATAAGATTTCCAAAGGTTCCTTGACTGTAATTGATCCAATCAATAAGAAACCACATAATGACGGTTCCTACCGTACGTGGTATAAAGTGACGACAAATGACATACAGATCCAACACATCATATCTTCTTCCTTTGCGTTGTTGTTCCTTTTTAAACATGAGGGAGTTTTTCATCTTAGTACGAAATATTAAAACAGTAATCACTGGAATGGTTGCTATTCCAAATGAAAGTCTGGCTACCACATTCCAGTTGCAACCAGATGCTGCTCCAAGATATGCATTTCTACAAGCAATGGCTATCAATATGAGTTGAACGACAAACGGAGCATAATTTCCCAAAGTCTCCAAACACATGACAAGAATAGCTACTCTTCTACCTCGATTCTTAGTATCCAACTGCTCACTGTCTTCCATCACGTTGGGTACATTACAAGTATATTCACCACCCATACCAATACCAGCTACTCCAAGAGCAATGACCATCATCCATATAGCACCAACATGACTCGTTCCATTCATAGCAACTCCCAAAATATTTCCCAATAAAACAAAACAAGAACACATGATGAGACCTTTCTTTCGACCAAAGAAATCAGCTATGAACCCAAAAATAAGCAGTCCAAACATAACGCCATACAACATGGAAACTCCAACGGCTGCTTGTAAAGTATTATCATCATTGACACTGGGAAAAATATCCGAAAACATGGTCAATAAAACAGAGTTGATATCATACATATATCCATTGACAAAGAACCCTGCAGCTGTTCCAAAAGCATTGAATCGAATAGCAACCTTATCCTCCTCAGTTAGAGCTTCCAACTTGTTGCCATCAATGGCACCTTTTGAGGCTTTGGTTTCTTGTTCTAAAGTACAAGTAGAACGCTGTAATTCTTGAGAAGTCCGTACAATTTGTTCATTTACCAACTCCAAAAAAGGACCAGAGGAATTCATGATAACCAAATAGAAGATAACAATAGTGGGCTGATTGTGTTCTTTTTAAAAGAAAGTTTTGTCCATTTGGACAGTTGATCCATCCCTTGAAATCGTTGATGGAACAATTCATTGGATTCATCGATCATCAACGGATCATGGGATGACTATGGATATCCTTGATGGAAAGAAAGATTGATAGAGAGCAGAGCTTACCATATTGAAAGGAAATAACGTGTCCATGGGATGTCTCGGTACAATTTCTAGAGTTTCCGTTTAAAATGATTGAGAACCATTGGTGTGCAACAAAAGGTCAAAGTTGGTAACATTCTTGTTAGGCGTTGTATAAATATTTTTCTTTCAACAACTAGAAGGAAACTTGATAATGCATGTTTCACTTCTTGTTTAGAAAGCTCTTCCAAACACTGGAGAGTCTCCTTCAGTTTACTTGACCATTGGACACTAGAAAGCTTCCTTCTCAGTAAATGTGAACAACTTGAATGGTTTCAGAATAGAACAAAAGTTTTTCTTACTTGAACATTCCATGTGCATTGAAATGGAAACAAATAGGTTCGCCTATCTTCGTATCTTGAATGAAAGAACAAGCTTCCCAGATACAAACTTAGAGATTCAATTCTCTGTGATTAAAAGGATAGATAGGTGCTAACTCGTACTAGAAATGGTTGATCCAAAGACCTCTAGACCACTACTAATTTACAATACTCAAGGCAACACAAAAGTTTGCATAGAGAGTTTAAGACCGTATTATTCAAGAAAAACTTCACTGACTGAATGACATCCTGCGTCTTATCTGTCAAAGTGTAGAATGATAAGATTGATATATTCAAGGACTTTTCTCGAGACATGAAAAAGTATAGTCCAAGTAGATAATCCATTTCAAAGAGTCCAAAGTGAAGTGGATTTTATTCCCGGCAACATTTTATCCATTACAGCTGTTTACAATGACTTGCGAAACAACTCGGATAATAAAAAAGCCAACTCTAAGGATTGAGAAGCGTTGAGTCTGGGATCACAAGGACTCTCGTAGCGTTGAGAAAGTTGGGATTCTTCCAATTCCATCATACCACCAATACACTCTAAGAAAGATTTTCATTTCCTTTGATACCCAAAAACTTGTCATTTCTTACTCACCTGTTACATTTTGTCCCGTCATTTCCAAATGGATTCCACCTGGATACGAATCCAACTGTCGGTGAATTTCATAAAACTCCTTAACCTATAATAGAAATAGTAAAGTTGGTCTAAAATTATTGTATACAAACAAAATGACATTATTTACTTCTGCTAATATGTTCTCGAACCTTCTTGTCTTATAACCAGACTTGGAAGTTTCCATGTTCCCATGCATGGGATCACAACTCCAAACAACTTGCCTCCCTTCCTTATGAACTGCTTCCACAAATCTCGGAAGGTGCTCCGCAACTCGACCAGCACCAACACGAACTATTAAAGTAATACGTCCAGGCTCATTTTCTGGATCTAAAATATCCAATAAACGAAGTAAATCGTCAGTTGCTAGAGATGGTCCACATTTGATGCCAATTGGATTGTCGATTCCTCTCAAAAATTCCACATGTCCACAATCGGGTTGCCGTGTACGATCACCCACCCACAGAAAATGACCTGAAGTTGCATAATATTTTCCTGTTTCTTCGTCTTCGGTTATCACATACAACTTATTTCATTTGTTCTTCAAAAGTCATCACCAAATCACATACCATATCTAGTCAGCGACTCTTCATAAGGTAACAATAATGCTTCATGAGAAACGCAAAATTCGGGTGTTCTTGTATTCGGACTATCTGCTTGAATACCACACGACTTCATAAATGCCAATGCATCGGATATACTATTTGCATATTCCAAGAAGCGTTTGCCTTGAGGAGTTTCATTTACAAACTTCGTGCGAATCACATTTCAAAAAATGGAGAACACTACTAGAAATCGAAACTTTGATTACCTGCAAGTTAATATCGTGAATGCGATTCAAATCTAAAAAGCCACCGCCAGCCAATGAACGTAACAAGTTGATGGTTGCAGTGCTCTGATGATAGGCTTGAACCATCCTATTCGGATCAGGAATTCGGGCTCTACAAATAGATAGTTATCATATCGTATGAATGATCGACTTCAAACAAAAGACTTACTCAGCATTAAATTCTGGCCCATTTATCATATCACCACGATAACTGGGTAGCTCTAATTCAGCATTTTTGGCTTTCTCATAAGGACTGCTTCTAGGCTTCGCAAACTGCCCTGCCATTCTGCCAATCTTTCCTACTTGTCCCACCAAACTTGATCCAAACCAAATGCAAACAACTAACCTTGACAACTGGTCTTCGTAGTCCATACATTAATACAATACTCATCTGTATGAGTAGCGTGAAAGTATCCTTGATATTATCCCCTCCATAACGTTCAAATTCCGAGAAACTTTCGGCACAATCTCCTCCATGCAGAACAAAAGCTTCTCCACGAGCAACCCTGGCAAGTTGCTCCTTCAATCTTCTGCATTCTCCCGAAAATACCAAAGGAAGAGCTTTTTTTAAACGGTTCTCTGTAGCTTCCAATTGATCCTTGTCTGGATACTCCGGTACCTATCCAGTTGTGTTTTTGTTTCCAGTGTTCTGATTGCAATATGAATTACCTGTTTGATTGGCATATTCCTCCAAGAATCAGGAGACCATATTTTAGAACCAGCAGTTCGAACTCCAGTTGCTTTCTTGTGAGGCGTAGCAACGCAAGTTATAAGGCTCCAAGCATTTTTACGAGTAGCTCTGGTTGAGTTGAATGAAGAGCAAAGGGCAGAATCCACAAAGGACGTCTTTCTTTCAACTAAATGGCTGCTTTCCACGATGGTTTTCTTTCCTTGGAGTTTCTTGGAAACGAGTGGGTTTGAACAGAACGAAAAGGCACACAATGGCATTGGTGTGCGAGATATCGAATGAAATTTGTCGATAATGTTGCCAACAACAATCGTTTTTATCTATTTCAACCCCCCCCCCCCCCAAAAAAAATGGCGCACAAACAACGGAAGAGTTGGTGCATTTTTCCACCTTAAGTCTTCCATTTCACATTGTCTCATAACAAATTGCTATATATATATAAGGTCATGTCGAACATAAAAACAAAAAGATAATAAACAACACATATTTTATTCCTATTTATTTATTTTCCATTAATCGTAAGACCATTTGGCTGGTCTCTTATCGATAAATGCTTTCATGCCTTCTTTTTGGTCATTCAAGTTAAAGGTTGAATGAAACAGTCTTCTTTCGTAAGCAAGACCTTGGTTTAATGGCACATTATCTGCAACATTGACACATTCTTTAGCCATTGCTACTACAGTATCCGAGTAACTTGCGATAGTTTTTGCTACTTCTATAGCTTCTTGCAACAATGTCTCTGTTGGTAACACACGAGCTACAAGTCCAGCTCTTTCTGCTTCTTCAGCTGACATCCTTCTTCCAGTTAGAATCATTTCCATTGCTTTGGCTTTTCCAACAGCACGAATAAGCCTCTGCGTACCACCCCAACCAGGTATAGTGCCAATCTGTACTTCTGGTTGACCGAAAAATGCACCTTGTCCTGCTAAAACAATATCACAGGCCATAGCCAACTCACAACCACCACCAAGAGCATATCCGTTAACTGCCGCAACGATAGGTTTCTTGATGGCATAAACTTTATCTATCCAACCTCCTTGTTCCACTTTTCTTGCTTGAACAAAGTTTCGATGGGCCATTTCTTCGATGTCTGCTCCTGCAGCAAATGCCCTATCACTTCCAGCCAATACAATAGCTCCTATCGAACGGTCACGATCAAACTCTTCCAAGGCTTGAATGACTTCTTGTTGAGTCTCTTCGTTGATGGCATTGAGTTGTTTCGGTCTATTTAAAGTAATAAGCCCCACTCGGTCACTACGAGCTTCCACTAGAATGTTATTAAAGCGGTTGGTACCAACAGTGGTTTCTGTGGAACTTGCAAAATTTCTCTTTCCTTGGAAACTCGAAACCAAGTTCGATATTACCTTTATTGGAAAGGAAGTATGGTTTGCGTATTTATGAGTGGAAGCAATGATACCAAACAAGGAACGCCTAGTTATCAAACCAGGTAGGGAAGCCATCATCATTCTTCCCACTGAGTGTGTTTGTCTATACACAAGTCAAAATGACAAGTGATGATTGACCTTTCTATGGAAAAGGGATTTATTGAGATTGACCAGAAACAACTTGTGTTCTCAACGAGAACAAGCATTGAAAAATGACCTTGGACGTCATACAACTTGAGTCAAATATCCATCATGATAGCTCTTCATTCGACAACAGAATAAGAAGTATCACGCGTTAAAAAAAAGAGAGAGAGACATGTTTGGTGAAATAACTTTCAGTTGTATGGACTCTGTCAACGTAAAAATCAACCAACTCTAGGGTCTTGTATTCGTTTCTCTGTATAATTCGTATCCCATTCTCCAGTATATTCTGTATCAGATGCACAAGTCAAAGAGAAACCACAATTTCGTTTCCCACAAGAAAGCCAGAAAAGCCCGGGCTCCAATTGCTTCAGGAAAAAATGCTAGGAAAGAGTGATGCCAAGAAAAAAAATTTAAATTTTTGTATTATTGGCGGCATATTTCTTCCGTTGTGTCCATTCATCATTGTAAGTCCACAAAACTTTACTAAAGCTTTCTTTCATAGGGATACATCATCCATCGAAAAACAAAGTTGTATTGAATCGACAAATATTGATGGCATTGACTGCATTTCATTAGGAAACAAGGATACACTGGATTTACAAATTAGTACAAATACTACAAAAATGAATGTACAAGATGACCATCAAGGCTTATCCTATCATGAAGAACAACAACCACAGTGCAAAGATAACTATGAGATCAACAAAGATAGGATACCGGAAAACATTTCTTGGCCATCCAATCTACCTTGTCCATTTTCAAAAGAAGACATCGATGTCCTACTTTCATTGCCTCCTCACATCAATAATGTAAGATTACAACTCCTACCTATTTTAGCATCCGATCCAGACTTGGCAAATGTTGCATATATCGATGCTGAATTCCTTCCACAGCAAGCAGTGACAATTGGACGAGGAACTTTTGAGTCCCTTTCTCATTCAACGCGTTTCGACTTGTCCTATATCAGTCGAAGACACGCGCGATTGGATTGCCAAGAACCCAATAAATTGTGAGTATGATATTTTGCATATACACAACTGCAGACTAGTGACAAAAGTGATCAGACTGCTGACTGACTTGAGTGCCAATGGTACTTTTGTGAATGGAGAACTTCTGGGACCCGATAATGTCTGTCAACTGTATGAAGGAGACGTCGTCTCATTTCTATTACTTTCTCCTGATTCTACGGAAAGTGCCTTGGGTTATGTAGTTTTGTTCAATCGAGTTGGAGAGGACCCTCAGATGTCCAGTGTTGCAGCTACCCAAGTTCTCTTTTTAAGAGAACAACAAAAACAAAGTGGAGATATTCTAAGCTTCAATAGTTCGGAGTCCAAAGTCCGTTCCTATGCACAACCCAGAAGAGAACGAGTCTCTGCAGCCAAGACCCATGAGCTAAATCATCCATCTTCAAATGTTTCTATATTTCATGAAACTGACAAACCATCAACTTCATCACAACGATCCATGAGTGCAGATTCTCCTTTGGGTTGGTTATGGGAACAACAACAAAATGCAATCGAACAATTTGGATTCTTACCCTTTTATTCATCACCATTTCATATGGAAGTCATTCATTCCAATCCCAACTCCTGGATTTATGCAGGTAAGCAATATTCTTTTGAATTCACATATGGGTTGAAGAATGATTAGTTCCATGTAGGAGTTCCTACCACATTTCCCCATTTTCATAGAAATGATGACCAGAGTTCAGAAAGCCATTCACATCATTCTAGTCTTTCCAAACCATCAAGACGAAGAGGACGTGGTTCTGGAGGCTCTATATTGGAAGAACATCGACGGCATGCATGTCCTTGGCCTGGTTGTGATAAGGTAAGAGCGACTCATATATCACTATGTATCTTTATATGATATGGATTGACGTAAATAAGCACTTTTCTCGGAGATTTACTGTAATGCAACATTATCGTACACATACAGGTGAAAAGCCTTACGTTTGTGACTTTCCTGGTTGTGATGCCCGATTTACTCAACTTTCCAATTTGCGACAACATGAACGTTATCATACAGGTGAACGACCATACCATTGTGATATTTGCGACTTGTCCTTTCAACAAATGGCCAATTTACAACAACATAAAAGACGACATTTTGAAAATCCTTCTCATTGGATATGTGCTTTGTGTGATGAAGGATTTCCAGCTAAGATGTTGTTGTTGCAACATGCCACGGTAAGTCATATGACGAGAGTATCACTTTGTTTTCTTATCTGTCGTAGCAAGTGCATCCCGGTGTCGATCCAAAAGAAATCATTCGACAACGAAGAAAAAACAAAATAGAAAAGGAAACTTTTCAACCATCACAACACGACTAGCTGTGTGTGTGTGTGTGTTATGTGTTTTGAAAATTTTATTATTCTTCACTCGGTTGCTCTATTGTGTTTCAAATGGCTTTCTTTTGAGAAAAACGAGAAATTTCTCTCCAAGAACCATCATGATTCCATAGACACAACACTGGTGACTAAAAATTATTACAAGGTCCAAATCCATAGTCAAAAGAAGATGATGATAAATTCTGATGGAAAGTTGTACGACCTTTGTCCATATCACAATCATGCTCCATCAAGGAAGTCATCGGTTCTCTTGCCAACCATTCTGTTGGCACAGAATAATACGGAGTTGTTCCTAAAGGTGGTAAATAAAGCGGTGAAACTCTATTCTGATGAATATTTTCTTCTTCAACTAGCTCGTTGCCTATGCCAGATGTAGAAGAATGATATGAACTCATGAAAACTTGTCTCTCGTCCAAATGACTAGTTTGATGTGGATCCATTTGGATATAAGATGGTTGAATAGGAAACTCTACGGATGGATTGAAACGAACGGAATCTTCCACTCCTCCTATAGCACCATTGTGATTATTATTATTATTATTATTATTATTGGCGGTAGTAACCATGCTATTATTATTGTTATTATGTTGTTTCTTATTTTTCTTCGATTTTTTGGTTTCCATACTAGTATCTTGAGGTTTCTTTTCTAATAGCGGCCCATTGATACTTGCTCTTAAATAAATATGTGGATTCAGTGGATGGTCGGTATCAACATAAAACAACTCCGAATGCTTCAACAGAAACCTTTTCAAACCACCAAATCGTTCCTTCAATATGTTGCTCCAATCCTGCTTCCCAAAAGTGCTTCTTAGATGCTGACCAATTTCGCCAATCAATAAACAACCATTTTCTGCCAAAATTTGGGTAAGAAATGCCAAAAGTCCTAATTCAGTCACCTATGACGATGAATGAGAATATATATCAATCTTGTAATGGTATATAATGTTGTCATTACCTCACTATTCACTATAAAACGGACATATTCCAAGTTGTTCCTCAAGGTTGTCATATCAACATAAAGTGGGTCTCTTTCTCTAAAGTAGTCCAAGAAACCTGCAGAAGAAATATAAACCAATGGACGAGTATCATCACCATGTTGACTGTATTTGCCAAATTTATGAGATGTGACTGGAGCAGATAAAGAACGATCTATCAACAGTGCCAACTGAGTATCGATCAACTTCCATCTATCGATATGACGCTTCCATGCAGAACCAGTCAAAGCTTGTAAATTAGCTGCTGTAGGTGCCGAACGAAAGAGCTCGGCATCACGAAGACCTTTGTTCACGGCTTTTTGAAATGCTACAATGTCCATTTCTGTAGAATCCACACAGATATTGCGATAATGTTTCCAACTCACGTGATCGAATATATTCAAGGCTTCCAAAGGTACAACTTCAAATTGTTCCTCTGTAACACATTGCGTTTCAGCTTCTGTTGTTGTCCGATGATAAAGCAATACTTCAGCATTGGGTGGAAATAAATAATTTTCACTAGATATAGGCTGCTTTCGTTGCCCTGTGGCTAAGTCTATTATGCCCTGAACGAACAAGATTCGTCAGTTAAACATTTAGCAATATATATATATATATATATATATATATATATAATATCAACACTTACCGTTTCACAAAGACCAAACTTTCGCCAATCAAAATGTACAAAATAAGTTAAGAAGCGATATAGTAAATCAAACGGAGTTTCTATGGAAGAATGAAAACAATTGGCAACTGAACAACACCATTTTAGTCCAACTACGGACACAATGCCATCGAGTTACTTACCAAAGACCACCAACACTTCCACAGCACGTGAAGGTAAAATATCTGTCAACTTGACTCCATAATCCACCCAAGTTCTAACCAACAAAAGACTTCTTTTAAACAAATGATTTCTTCCCATTGCATGATCAAACTCCTCCAAGACACAAGCGGTATGAATACCAGCTACATGATTCAACGTTACGCTTACTCGGACATTAGGTGCAATATCTCTTTCCGTTGAATTGGTATCCAAAGCCACTAGTCCACTTCTAGGGTCTTCAATAGGCCAATTGACTGTAAAAGTTACTGCAGGAGGTGGTTGACATCCACTTGGAGTTGGTTTGGGTCGAAAATAAGAAATATTACGTACGGGTAGTGGAACTGGATGCTTTTGCTGAATCAAGGAAAGATATGAAAATTCTAAACTACTTGAAGAATGGTCACTTGCTAGAGTAGCATCTTCGCAAAGTGCAGCCATAAGCTTTGCAGACCATTCAGCTGCCGTATCATTTTTTCCAACAAGAAAAGCGCCAATTTCTAAAATGGAGTCCGCGTGATATGTTTTTGTAGCAAAGCTTCCATAACAAAATGCTTGTGCGCCAATAGATCTTTTGATAATACTGGCAACTACTCTAAAAACAGCTTCTCTTCTCAACTCACTGAAACTTGTTGGAACACAAACATCCAGAAAACGATTGACTCGAACACAAATAGCATCTTCAGTACGTTCTGCTCTGGAACTTGAACTATATAAACCCAGTCGACTAAGATATTCTGAGCGTATATTATCCGAACCAATATGAAGACTTGGGACAATAGATTGATAAGATTTGCTTTTAGTTAAAGAAGAAGATTGTTGAGCTGAAAGAGGTTGCTGAAACTGGAAGGAGTTGTCTGGTGTGGATTGTATAGATGCACTTGAATTATAACATGAAGAGAAACCATCATCAGAAGCTATTTCACTTAGAGATTTGGTAGACGTACTTTGAAACCTAATGGTATCTCCATGTTGCCGATAAGAGTTTAAGGATGAATGGCTTTCTCTGAGTATGTTGTCAGTTGAAGGAAGACAGATATCTGGTTGAGGAACAGGTGCAAAACCAGCAGGTAATATCAACCAAGACTTTTTAGAGCTCTGATAGATCTTCCGTTCAAAACTCGAAACTATTTGACTCCATCCAAATAGTTCAATAAACGTTGCAAATAGAGAACCAATCTCAAAAGCCTTCAAATAAGGGTTCCAAGAATAACAATATTCATAGGACTTTTCACTACTTTCTGAAACTTGATGCAAGTCTATTTCAAAAGACTTTAAAGGATCCTGAAATATACAACCTCCATGGACACTATGCCATTTTCGTGATACTCTTAGAGTTGCATTGTTCTTGGAAGAATGACTAACAGATTGTTGTTGTTGACAAAGTTTCTTTCTATCCTCTTCTTTTTCTCTGCGAGTTTTCTGTTTTTCTTCACAAACTGCATAAGATGAAAATGGACGAAACAATGTACCACCATGAGTAGAAGTTGTTGGAGAACCGATATTGTCTTCTAAAAGAGCATCAATTCTTTGTTCCAAAAGTTTAGCATCGTGTTCATCTTCCCAATAGTCTCCATTTTGTACTTCCAAAGTCTCCATCGATGTTTTCTCATTCGACTGCAATTTCCTATTATCCTAATTTTCATCTTGTTACTTGAAGACAACAAAAATGTCCCATGTTACAAACCTCAAAGGCATTCGAAGCTATATTTACGGAATAATCACGTTGCACTTGGAATTTTGAACTCTTTGAAAGTTTCTTCCATAATTCCTGAATATACAAAGGCTCATAAAAGGTTCTATATACTTTATCAATATTAGAACCATCCATTTCCAGGCAATCTTCTATGAGACAACGAATATCATATACTCTCGGTAACAACAGTGATAGTTGAACAAGAAAAGAATCCAATCGTTTAGGTAAAGGTGCATGAAAAGCATGATAGAGTGCCATGAGGTCCACAAGTCCATCAAAAACTACCAAAGGTACTCGACTTTCTGCAATATATCTCAACAATAAAGAACCTTCTCCAAAGGCAACTGTGGGAGGAAGAATTTCACTCCAACCAGGACGAAACACAAAAGTACTTTTCCTACTACATAATATTCTCGTAAGAAACGATTATTACTTTCAATCCTTATGTATTCACTTACTGTGGGTCAAACCAATTCTTTCCTTTTAGACTATCTCCAGGAGTATGTACTTCTTCCGTACAATGAGGAACAGAATACTTGATTCCGAGTTGAAAATATTCCGAAAAGTCTCCACCCTTATTGCACAACTTGAAGAAATCAGTATATATATTCAACAAGTACTTGAGTCTTACCCCATCACTAAGGTCAGATGATATGGAGAAATTTCCATTCCTCAAGAACAGAAATCGAAACACTCGAACGCTGTATTGTGCGTCACGGTAAAGACTGAAAGGAAAACTTTGCGTATTCAAATTTTCAGAGTTTTTTGTCGATTCCGTCTCTCCTGAAATATACTCTTTAGGAGGCTTCCTTCGAAAACTCGAAATGAGAACCTCCAAAATACTTTCACTGGAAACAAGTTGTCTTAAACGTTTATATTCTTCCTTGCTCTTACTTTCTTCTGTTTCTGTGTCGAAGTTTAGTAGACTAGAGAAATCAGTACCATAAGACTGTTTCCATCCAGACTCCGTACTATTCACGGAGGTAACGGAAGAAGCTTCCAAATGAGACTCGAAATCCAAAGGAACTTCATTTTCTGTACTATTTGTTGAACGACTATCACAAGAATGAACAACTTTGACGGTGATAAAAGTGGAACGTTGTATACACGAAAGCAACTCGTCAAGGGACTCTGTAACGTTTTCTCTTGTCACCCTTTTTACATCTATTCCTTCAGGTAATGATGTACTACAAGTTTCTGTTTTCAGTCCATTGAGCTCCATGGAAGCACAATTCTTCTAATATGAGTGAACACACATATTGTTCCTTTTGCAAAAGGACTCAACGGAAATGCGAAGAAATTCTCTTTTTGGATGTTTATTAGGCATGACAGACAGACAAATATATTATATACAAGATGGAGACATGGTATTTTATATTATCTATCCATTGGTTGAGAGAATATAACTTTTTTTGGATACTCTTTATGGGTTTCTAAGAAATGAAAAGTATGCAATAGTTCTTTGTAAACCTTCTTCCATGGATACAATAGGCTTATATCCAAGTTCTCGTTTTGCCTAAATGGGATGATATGAAATGGTTCAAAATCTTATCCAACTAAGTACCTCATTTACCTTTTCACAACTCACTCTCCTATTCCGAACGGATAATAAGATTCGAAATGGAGTGAAATCGCTTTCCAATTGTATCCAAGGAGAAATAAGACGACTAAACCATAAGAATAACCACGAGAGAATATATATCAACCAGAAGGGCAATCTCCTCGTAGGTCTAGAATACCTACAAAGTTCTTGATATGATATGATCAGTTCATGAGAAGAATGACTGGCATACCCTAAGCCTTGTAAAATATCACCGAGGAATCCCCAAAAAGGACGAGCATCATCATTGGTAATGAAATACACTTGGCCGCCTATTCTTTGTGAACTTTGTTGAAGACCATCTTGAGAAACACAAAAACCATCAATGAGATGACTTTAGGAAATAACAGATATATAAACATACCTGCAGCTAACTCTAAAGCATAAGCGACGTTATCTACAAAAGTCCAATCCATGCGATTTGTACCATCACCAATATAATATTTCATTTTGCCTTTTCTAGCATTGCTTATCAAAGTTGGTACAAACAGAGGATCCCTTTCTCCAAATATTCCTGCACACATAATATAATAATATGACCACAACAAATCAATCAGCATATACCAACCACTTGGACGTAAACAACAAGTATGCAATTGGGATGAATTGGCATCCAACACTGCACGTTCTGCAATGGCCTATCAATATTATGTTGTTAGTTATTGTGTTTATTGTTATAAGATAATAATAACTGACTTTAGTCTCCGTGTAAAAATCCACGTGTCGTTTCGGTATTTGAATACTTTCATCTACTCCCTCCAGATCTTGTCCACGGAAAACAACACTAGCACTCGATACATATATAAGAGAACGAACGTGACAAATCTTGCAAGCTTCGATCACATTCCGAGTGCCTTCCACGTTCACAGTATACATAATTTCCTATCATACAAATTACAAAACTCTTTGGTTCCTTCAATAGCTTACCTTATTTTTTGCATTCTCAGCTGAAGGTGCAGCAGTGGCACAATGAAATACGACACTTGCATCTTTGAAAGCAGCTACGAGATCGTCTTGTCTCCGAATATCGCTACAACAAGTTGAGATACTCAGTCGACTGTAGATGATAAAGGACTACCCTTGTTGAAAGACTACGGCACCCGTACCTCGTGACTGAGTCACGTTCTTGATATCAAATACAACTATTCGTTCCCACTTGTTCTTATTGACAGCCAAACGTTGGACAAGTGCTTGCCCCAAAAAACCACTACCACCAACTACAACGCAACTGAACATTGTCAAATGTATGTGATGCAATACAGCTGACAAAATGAACGGTAAAGAGCAAAACGAAAGACAAGTAGAAAAAGACAACGACAATGCAAAAAAAATTTTTTTTAGAAAAAGAGAAACGTTTATTTAAAGGAGAACGTCTCTTTGGGAGACGACAAAAATTAGGTTAAAGAGCTGTACTATGCGACCTAAGCCTGGTCTCCTTTAGTAAAAAGCGAAAGGAGAGTACAAATTGACAGAGACCGCCAGCTCAAATATACAAAAAATTGCAAGAGGGCAGTGAAATGCATTTAAAGAACGACACAAAGAAAATTTGATGTTGGGATAAAATATGGAAGAGGAAAGAGCGATTCTCAACTAGAGAGAGTGATGGTTGGTTTGTATCATGAACAATGAATATGATGTTTTGAAAGGTTCGAGTGCAAGCCAAGGTGGTCTATATTTTCCAAAGAAAATACAAACCGAAAAAACAGAAATAACAGAGTCGAAAGGTGTTGAGCATTTACATACGGAAAAGAAGACTTTGTTACCTGAACAACTTGAAAACAAAGTTAGCCCTGCAGTTTCCCTGGTTTCTTATGGAGAAACTGTTGATAAAAACAGTCATTCGAGAGAAGATAGACACAGCCATTGGCCGAGACATGCACACAAAAGGAAACGTCTTGAGAGCACACCAAGTTTGTCGACAGAGTCGGTATTTCCCGGCGTTGGCAATAGACCACCTGCCATTTCTAAAAAGTATGTAACTTTTTATATCGAGAGAGAGAGAGAGAGAGAGAAAAAATAGAATTGAACGTTGCATTGCTTAGGAAACCCGATTTTCGTACCAAACCAAAGTTGCTGGCTACTTCCGATAATAGTTTATTGAGTCGCAAGTATGCCTCTATTTTTAGACCAATTCGAAATGAAACTTACTTTGTATTGTAGCAAGTCCGAAACGATTCGTACTCCAAGCAGGATTTCATGGGAAGGTTCAACCCCTAAGATATCCACTTGGGACACCGAAGATCCCAGCCAAGTCGGTAAGTACAAACTTGTTGAATGAGTCGAAGGATTGAAATAATCGATTGTGCAACAGACCTTCCCTATTTGTTGGATAGGAACACTCCAATGACTGGAAAGCTTCCCAGCTATGAAGATGACAATAGTAGAGCTTCGACTCCAGTTGATGATGCACTGTATAAGGAACAAGTATGTTATACACTTCCACTGAGTGACAACTTATATTTTCTATTTTATTCAAAGGAATTTCTATTGGAGCGTGAATGGTATTTAAAGGATGAAGAGGGCTCTGTCATGGATGATAGCAGTGGTTCCTATTTATTAAATAACAATACTTCCCATGTACAAGAACGTCGTGCTAAGAAAGTATCGGCAAGAACAGCTGCCTTGAATGAAGATTCAAACAGATGGGAAAACCTGCAGATGCGTCTTGGAGGAGGCGATAGATCTCAACAAAAGGTAAAGTAAACAATATTTTAGTTTCACTCCATTTTCATCCCTTTTTTTGTAGTTTGATATAGAAGTAGATGATGAAGAAACAGTTCGCGTGAGTCTTTTAGTGAAAGATACTACTCCACCATTTTTAGAAGGACAAACGAATTGGAAAGGTTCATTAGATACAGTATTACCTGTGAAAGACTCTACTAGTGATCTTGCAAAGATTGCAAGAAAAGGAAGCCGTGTTGTTCAAGAGGCAAGGTAATTAGAGAAAGAGTCGAATCCACAATTTTCTTCATTGAAACGATATAATTAGAGAACAAAGAGAAAGAGGTCAAGCAAGAGTCAAATATTGGGAACTTGGAACGGCAGCAGGAGCAAAAGAGAAGGAAGCAGAAGAAGCTCAAAGAGAAAGACAAGAAACGGAAGCTTCATTGAGAAAGATACAAAGTGTAAGATTTTTTCTTATTGTTGTTTCAGATAGAGAATAATTGGTTTTCTAGTCCAACGATGTTGATGATTATAAAAGCAGCATGAGATATGGAAATGTGTTGACTGGAAAAGCATCTGAACGTGAAGAACGCCAACATTCCATTGCACAACAGAGAAAAACACTCCCTATTTATGGAATGAAGAATGACATATTGAGAGTTGTTCGTGAAAATCAGGTTTGTAGTTTTCGTATATTGTTGAGCAATTTTGTTGATATTTATTTCTCTTCAATTAGATTGTAGTTATTGTTGGTGAAACGGGAAGTGGAAAGACCACTCAGTTGACACAATATCTTCATGAAGAAGGCTATTCCAAGAGAGGAATTATTGGATGCACTCAACCAAGAAGAGTTGCTGCTGTAAGTGTTGCCAATCGAGTTGCAGAAGAAATGCAAGTGGTTAGTATATGTGTGAAGTTTAGACTCATCCTTTGGACTCATTATGGACGTTTCTATTCAGGAACTTGGAAAGGAAGTTGGTTATGCCATTCGGTTTGAAGACTTTACTTGTGAGAAAACGGTAATAAAATATATGACGGATGGTATCTTATTACGAGAGAGTCTTAGTGATCCAGACTTGGAAAAATATTCATGTGTTATTATGGATGAAGCTCATGAACGTAGTTTGAATACGGATGTATTATTTGGAATTTTGAAACAGGTGAGCCAAATTCTCTCGAAAAGTATGAAACAAAAGTGAATGAAAAAATAGTTGGCTTCGAGAAGATCCGATTTGAAGATCATCGTTACTTCGGCTACTTTAGAATCTGAAAAGTTTGCAGAATTCTTTGGAAGAGTACCAGTATTTCGTATCCCTGGTCGTACATATCCAGTGGATATATTTCATTCTAAATCAGTTGTAGAAGACTATGTTGAAGGTGCTGTTCGACAAGTATTACAGATTCATCTTCAGGCAACGGTTCCAGGAGATATTTTGGTATTCATGACTGGCCAGGAAGATATCGAAGTTACTTGCGAAACGATTGCAACTCGTTTAGAAAAGTTAGAAGGTGCAAAACCATTACTTATCTTGCCTATTTATTCGCAGTTGGCTTCAGATCTTCAAGCAAAGATATTTGAACCTGCTCCAGAAGGAACTCGGAAAGTTGTCGTGGCCACCAATATTGCTGAAACTTCTTTAACTGTAGACGGAGTGAAATATGTGGTTGATACTGGATTTTGTAAGTTGAAAACTTATAATCCAAGAATCGGAATGGATGCTTTGTTACTATGTCCTGTATCGCAGGCTTCAGCGTCTCAGGTAAGGAGGGATTACGGTTGTCCGTTGTTAGTGATTAGATTGCTTATTAAATAATGAATTAGAGAGCTGGTCGTGCAGGTAGAACTGGACCAGGTCGTTGTTATCGTTTGTATACGGAATACGCTTTTTCTCATGAAATGTTACCAGCAAATGTCCCTGAAATACAAAGAACCAATCTTGGCCATGTTGTTTTGCTTCTTAAATCTCTCGGAGTATCCGATTTACTTCATTTTCCCTTTATGGACCCTCCTCCACCAGAGAATATTGTCAAGTCGATGTTGGGTAAGTATGAAAGGATTTGTATATGTGTGAGAGAATATTTGATACGATAATGATAGGTCTTTGGTTTCTGGGTGCATTGGATGGAGGTGGAAGACTGACAGATTTGGGAAAGCGAATGTCATCTTTTCCTCTGGATCCTCCACTTTCTGCCATGATTCTGGCAGGCGAACGTTTTGGATGTAGTGATGAAGTAGTGACTATTGTATCTATGCTTTCCGTGCCTTCCATATTTATACGTCCACCAGGAAGAGAAGAAGAAGCAGATGCAGTTCGTGAAAAGGTATGTGAGATGATTAGCAAAGATAGCTGGAAGATTCTTATGTTGGGTGTCGTTGTGTAGTTTTTGGTTCCTGAAAGTGATCATCTTACGCTGCTTCATATATTTCAACGTTATCGAAGCAATGGTTGTCGAGCGGAATGGTGCAACAAACACTTTTTAAATAGCAAAGGAATGCGAAAAGCTGCTGAAGTCCGTTCACAACTTGTCGATTTGATGAAAGAACAAGGGATGGAGGTAAGCTATTTGATATTTTTTCCTGGAATTTTTGCCAATTCTCTTTGTATGTATGACAGCTAGCCAGTTGTGGGTTGAAATGGGATATTATTCGAAAGGCTATATGTGCAGCATACTTTCATCAAGCGGCACGAATGAAGGTGGGTCAAGGGAAGAGACTTGGGCAACAATATTTGTCTTATCTTCATTTTTTGGACTTAGGGTATTGGTGACTATGTCAACTTGCGTACTTCAGTACAATGTTATTTGCATCCTAGCAGTGCACTTGCAGGTTTAGGATACAACCCAGAATATGTAGTTTATCACGAACTTGTGTATACGGGAACAAAAGAGTATATGCATTGTGTTACTGCAGTGGAACCTCAATGGTTGGCAGAGCTGGGTCCTATGTTCTTTACTCTCAAGGTACATATTATCATATTATTTTATCCATCTTTTCAAACTGAAAAGGTTGCATTTGAATAGGAAGGAAACACGAGTCGTTTAGAAAAACAACGCCAAGAACAACAAGACCGTTTGTTGATGGAGCAGCAACATGAAGAAGCAAAACGTGAAAAGGAAAGAGAACAAGCCATGGCATCCAAACTCAAAAGTCGAAATCGAATTGCAACGCCTGGCGCCACTCCACGATTCCGGCCTTGGTTTTTCTAATGAGCATTTTTTCTTCCAAAATGGCGCTCAACTGTCTCTCTATTGTAATTGAGACTCGTCCTACTTGTATATTTGGTTTTCATTTGAATTATATTTATCTATATGATGTGGAATAGCACTGCTTGCTTTGATGTGTGTATTTCATACCCTGCAAGTACCGTTATTCTTCACATGTGTGCTCGAAATAAATATTTTGGATTTTTTTTTGCATTTTGTTCCACTTTTTGGGTATTGGTGGGCATTGTCATTTTCATCACACTTACATAACACACACACACACACTACATATATATATAGAGAGAGAGAGATATTTGTGTACAACATAAGAAAAATATTTTTCCATGTCTTGGCAAGTGTATGTAGATCAACAGTTACTTGGTTCAGTAAGTGTAGATTGGGATGGAAGTCTCAATAGTCTTTTACTTGTTCTTTTAGGGAAAGGTGAAAGAAGCAGCTATATGTAGTTTGGAAGGAAACATATGGGCGCGTTCTGCTGGTTTCGAAGTAAGCGTTGGGTATCTTTGATTTATCAGAGTTGCTTATTTTCATATAGGCTTCTACGGAAGAGTTGAAAAAATTGGTTGCCACTTTTCAACATACCCAAGATGCGGCTCAAAATGGTCTATTTTTGGGAAATAAGAAATATTTGTAAGTGATGAATATTCTTCTCTTCAATACTGAAAGTTGTCAGCTTTCTTCGTTCCACCGAAGATACCGTTTACGGAAAATGGGCAAGTTTATTGTTTGTTGTGTGTGAACATTTTTCAGTTTCTTAACGATTGTAGGGTGAAGATGGCTTTGTTGCTATGCAGACCAATATCTGTCTCATCGTTGCAATATTTACCAAACCTGTATCAGCTGCGGAGTGTGCAACAGCAGTTGGAAGAATAGTCGATTATTTGAAGAGTGCAGGTTATTAATTATTGGTCTGCTAACTGTTCCAAAATCGATAAAACGTGGTGCGTATCGGGTACAAAATAACGTGCTTTGGTATATTTTCTTCCAACTATGCAATTAAATACCTACAAACATTTGCCTATCGATATACATATGAAAGTCCAATCACTTACTTGAGCTTGTGTTGATTCTACTTGTTGAAACATCTGTTCATCTGTTCGATCATCTCCTATACAAAGAATAAAGTCTGGTGACTGTGGTTGTAATCTACAAAAAGCATCAAGTACATATGAACATCTTCCACATGATGGTTACTTACTTTGTTAAGATGAATTGTACAAAGGAACCCTTATCCACACCTTTAGGACGAACATAGAGAATCTTTTGTCCCATCAATATCTAAAATTACAAGTGAGTCATATATATATATATCAAAATGTATATGAATATATACCTCCAAAGGAGTTTCCATCAAAGCTTGTTCCAAATGTTGTCTTGCTTCCATCGCTTGTGAATATGCAAAGTCTGGATCGGCATCTCTAAAATGCCATGTCAAACAAGTTTCTTTTTCTGATATAAACGACCTAAACACACAATTCCATCCAACTCCATGAATAGCAAAGTGTATTGCATACCCCGGTGTACAATCTTCAAATCTTTTCAATATATCCTTTGCCACATTCAATGATTGACTTATTCTTTCCCACGAAATGTTCTTCTCATTGGATATCAACGAATACCATAAAGGAACCCAATCCTTATCTCTCGTTGGTTCGTTGTCATTTATTTCTTCATTTTTAGGCCAACAATAATAAAATCCATATTCAGCTGCCAATCCAGTTCCTGTCATAGCCAACCAACTGCTCAACTAATCACAAATAGTTCATTAGGATATATCGCCAATACTTATCCAAGAACAATTTACCGTATTCTTATCTCTTCCACTTATCACAAATACTCTATTTCTTCTGTTGGATGAGAGTTTCTTTAGAATATGCACCAAATGAGAAGTAGGCCTCGCTAATTCAGGCAATGTTCGATAACTATCATAGTCTGTCTATTATTGAAAGAAAAAACAAATAGATAAGCAGCTCATAATCTTACCTTGTCAAAGTTCCATCGTAATCTAACAACAACAATCTCCGATGACTTGTTTGATAAGATTCCAAAATACTTTCTATATGTAAAGGTTGCAATTGCAATTCCATTTGTCTTCGTTCCGTTATCGTTTGATACCAATCAGCAACAAAATGATCGCCCCAAGAAATACAAGTATGAGAAATCACATAACTTATTCATGGATATGATGATGTTTTCTATTCGAGCATTTCAACTTACCGATAGAGCTTTTGATGTTTCATTCTTCGTTCTTGTTCAGACATGACTAGTGATTTGTGAATACAATCGGCAACTTCTTCTGTATTCCAAGGATTACATAATATGGCACCTGGTAAGGAATGTGCTGCACCTGTCAATTCTGAAAGTATCAAAACACCATAATTGTTGTACTAAAATAACTCCATCTCAAGTGATTCAGTATCATTTCATTTACTTACTTGACAATAAATATATTCATAAGATACCAAATTCATACCATCTCTCAAAGAAGTAATCATAGCAACATCGCCTACTGAATATAAAGCACACAAGTCTTCAAAAGAAATCATTTGATTGAGAAAGTGAATAGGAACATAATCCATGGAAGAGAACTTTCCATTCAATCTACCAACCAGTTGATACATTTCAGCACGAAATCGATAGTAATCTCCTGAAGCAGATATCGAAGGAATAGCAACTTGAATAAAGACACAATGGCCAATCCATTCAGGATAAGTATCCAAAAAACATTCGATGGCTAACAGTTTGTGAGGAATTCCTTTAATATAGTCCAATCGATCCACTCCAATGATAATCTTTTTATCTTTGAATTCGCTTCTTAACTGTTGTATTCGGTCTTTTACTATTCGAGTTTCCAATGCTTTGGAAAATAAAGTCGTATCTATGCCCAATGGAAATATTCCAATGCTTACTTGACTCGTTCGATTATCCACCTAAGCTCATAGTCAAACAAATCTTTCACAATATTAATCCATTGCTTACTGCATTGGGACGAACATCGAGTCCCAATAATCGACTACAAACACTTAGGAAATGACGAGCATAATCATAAGAATGGAATCCTATTAAATCCGATCCTACAATCATATCATAGCATATCTGATGACTATTCGATGCTCTTAAATAGGAACAACAAAATACTTTACCTAAAACTCCTTCGATCAGTTCTCTTCGATTAGGAAGCATTCGATAAACCTCAGAAGAGGGAAATGGAGTATGTAGAAAGAATCCAATTGAAGCACTTGAACATCTTTCACGAATCATTTTAGGAACCAACAAAAGATGAAAATCGTGTATCCAAATAAAATCGCCACTTTCATAATGTTCCATGATGACTTTGACAAAATCCATATTTACTCTATTCTTCTTCTATTTGATTACAAAGAATATTCCATTGACTATTTCACTTGCCTTTTATAAGCTTCCCAAGCTTCCAATCGAAAGGATCTTTCTCCTTCCACATGTAATAACAAATAATGAAAGAGTGGCCATAATACCGAATTACAAAAGGATTGATACAACTCATAGTCATGAAACTGTGAAAAGACAGGAATAAAACTGAATAGAAATCAATCTTTCTATACGTTATTATCCAAAAATATACCAACTTACCCATATTCGGTTTGCAACTTGTGCTTTAGAATATCTTGTTTTTCCATATCCCAACAACTACCCAAAGCACCAAACCAATAAACTGGAAACTTCTTCTTCAAATAAAATATGGCAGGAACTAAACCTCCTGAACTAACTGTAATCTATTCATAGTTTCTATGAACCTCCTTTCCAATGTATTGAACAACCTCACATACTGTTGGTTTATTTCTAATTGACCAGTCAACCATCACAGGAAGTCGACTAGTAACTACCAACAATCGACTGGTAAAGTCCTTTCCAAGTCTCGATGAAGAAACATTGGAAACTCTTTTGGATGGAACAGCATTGGCCTAACAAGTCCAACTATGACAACCTAACATTCTCAAAGTATTCCACTTACTTTAAGTTCACGTATCTCTGCCAACTGTAACTGAATATTTTGTATCTTGTTGAGTAAAACTTCTTCAGAATCTTCTCCAACGCCAACTTCTTCCTCTTGTCTCGTTTCCGGTATCTATTCCATTCGTCCATATTCCTTCCTTGTAGTATCATATTACTATAACATACCTGCAAAGTAGGCAACTCCATAGAAGTACTTCTGGACATTCCACTATCTAAAAGTTCAGCTTCTGAAAAGGAGATAGAACTGGATGCTTTAGAGTTGAACATCGTTTTGTTGTAAGAATTCATTTTGCTATTCCATGATGAGTTTGAGTTGTTGGAAGAGACTTTTTCCAACTGCATATCATAACTGGACTCATTTACTTATTCAACCTGCAGTTGCACAAGGAAATAAACAAAGTGTACGAAGACTCAATCTTCATGAATATCAATCACAACAACTTTTATCCAAATATGGAATCCAAGTTCCCAAAAGCAAAGTAGCCAAGACTGTAGAAGAAGCAAAGAAAGCAGCTGAAGAAATTGGCAACGGCAATCCAGTCGTTATTAAGGCTCAAGTATTAGCAGGTGGTAGAGGATTGGGTCATTTTTCCAATAACTTTCAAGGTGGAGTTCATATAGTGGAAACTCCTGAAAAGGCTGCACAAGTTGCTTCCCAAATGTTGGGACAAACTTTGATAACCAAACAAACAGGACCTCAAGGAAAGCCTTGTCATTCGATATTGATTGCTGAAAAGATTGCTTCCAAGAAGGAATTGTATTTGGCACTTACTTATGATAGAACGGTACAAGGACCAGTTGCTATTGTAAGTAGTCGTGGTGGAACTTCGATTGAAGATATTGCAAAGGAAGATCCCAATGCTATTAAGACTATAACTTTAGATATTCGAATGGGTATGACTGAAGAGAAGACCAAACAAGTGATACAAGGTTTGAATATCTCTTCTAGTTTACAACAACAGGCTATGGATCAAGTAAAGAAGTTGTATCAATTCTTTTATGATAAGGACGTTAGTATGTTGGAAATCAATCCTTTGGTAGAAACCAATGATGGTCGACTTGTTTGTGTGGATACTAAAGTGAACTTTGATAAGAATGCCGATTTTCGACAAGCAGATATATTTGCTATGAGAGATATCACACAAGAAGATCCTCGAGAAGTAAGAGCTGACCAAGTTGGTTTAAATTATATTGGTTTAGATGGAAGTATTGGATGTTTAGTGAATGGAGCAGGATTAGCTATGGCAACCATGGACGTTATCAAGTTGCATGGAGGTAATCCTGCAAACTTTTTGGATGTGGGTGGAAGTGCAACAGAAGAACAAGTAACCGAAGCATTTAAAATACTTACAGGAGATCAACATGTGAAAGCTATTCTAGTGAATATATTTGGAGGTATTATGCGTTGTGATGTGATTGCTCAAGGAATTGTTCAAGCGGCACATAATATTTCATTAAATATTCCTCTAGTCGTTCGTTTACAAGGCAATCAAGTGGAACAAGCCAAAGCTATATTAAAGCAGTCTCAACTTGCTGTTATTGCTGCGGATGATTTGGAAGAAGCTGCAGAAAAGGTAAGAATGTTTGGATGAATTCCATAGTCAGAAACTCATATGGATGATAGGCTGTACAATCTGCGAAACAAACTATTCGAGGCTAATCTTCATATGTTAAAGAAATGGAATTCCACTCCAAACTTTGGTTTGATATTCCTTATAAGAATGACCATAAAAGCGTATGAGAGTATTTTCTTCGAAAGTTATTCGGTTTTGAAAGAACTTCCAACTAAGAATGGCAAAAAGTAGACAAGAAATAGGATTGACCAACATAACTTGTGTTCCTATGCACCATATAAACCAACCACAATAAGCAGGATGTCTCATCCATCGATAGATACCTTTGGTGACTAGTCTGTGATGGGTTTCCTTCTGGGTACGTATGCGATGACTAAAACAGGAACCTAAAGTCAACATACCCCACTTCCTAATTACTTCACCAAAGACGACAAGTACAATTCCAACTAGTCTCCAATATTTCTCATATTCTGATTGTTTTCCAAAAAAGTATAGTCGTAACCCATATTCCATAGTAGCCAACAACATAGCGCTTATATAAGGAATACTTAACAAAGTGGAACTCCAAGATAGCTCTTTTCGACAATATATATAAATAAATAGCCACTCTGTTATATGAAAAGTTAATAAAGTCATCAAAAAGTCAAGATACATTCAATCGTTATTCTTTAATGAAAAGCAAAATACTAAGGAAGTGTCCAATTCAATAAGATTTCTTCTTCTTCTTCTCTTATCCATTCACTTGGCCAACTTTGCTTTTCTATTTCTTCTACTTGTGCCACTCCAGAATCCATTTCCTTCCAACTTCTCATACCATGAGTATCTTCCAATGCTAGTGTCTTGATAAACCAATCACTGCTACTCTCTGAAGAAGCATACAACATATCTTCAGGCCATTCATAATGAAAACTGCCATTCCATAGTGGATTATTAGATAAAGGTTCTAAAGAAGGTGATGAATGAGAAAAGGTTTGGTCTACTTGAGTTGGTTGTAAAAATGGACTTGGCCATTCTTCTCCCAAACGATAAAGTTCATCATTAGTAACTACAAAATCTTCCTCTTCTCCAGACTTGAATTGTGCCAACTTGTGAGTATCTCTCATTTCCTGTTCAAAATAAACATCAATATATGAATATCTATATACAACTTCAACTACTTACTCGTTTGTCACTATAATGAAAAGTATTCGATGCCATTCTTTCTTCTCGACATTCTGGTTCCGTAGTAGAAAACATCCAAATACGTTCCTTTTCATCTGAGAATCCAATCATATCACCTTGGATAGAAGAAGATGGTGGATATCCATATCGACCCAACATCAAATTGACTCTATTACGTTCACTAGGTTCTTCTGTCACTTGACTTGGATCGAAGGAATCCGTATAAAGTGTCTGATTGTGTCTCCAAGAGACATCATTGTTGGAGATCCAAGTAACATTATCTGTTGTTGTAATGGAAACTTGTGAATCCACATGTTCAATATTCTCTCGTTTATAAGGATGCATATTATCAACGGTGGCACTATCTCTCATTCGTTTTCTTTGAACATTCTGAGTAGAAAAAGAAGATTGCGATAATCCAGGTGAGGATGGACGAGAACTACACTGGGTCATTCTACGTTTCCATTCAGGTGAATAAGATGCGTTGGACTCCTTTTGCCATACAACTCTATCCCAAGAATTCTTATGGCAACTCTTTCTTTCTTGCATCATCTTTGTGGGGATATTTTCTACTAAACTAACAAGTCTTCCACTGTCATTATTTGGTTTCCCTCTCTTTCGTTTGGCCAATCTCCGTTCCCATCTCTTCTGTCTAGCTTCTTCATTAATAGTATGATCAGGTCCAAAGTATTCCAATAAAATACCAGCTTCAACCATCAACTCATGCAATCTGTGACTCAACTCCGAACCTTTTGCACGTGGTAAAAAGCATAGACGTTGCATTTCCTTGACCTTTTCAAGTTGAACTAAATTTCTTTCTAAAAGTTCAATGCTACTATAAAAGGAGTTGACATGTTCTTCTAAAATATGGCCTGTACGCACTTCATATTGCGTAAAACGTTGACTACCTCTATACTCTCCAATATACAGTTGTTGCAACAATTGAAAACCTTTCCTTGTTGTTCCTTTGTTCCTTTTCCACGTTTTATCATAAAATAACTCGGGTAGATTATCTTGTATCCCTAAAGGGGATTCGGTACAACTTTCCACGTCATCTCCTTTCCCACAAGTACACTGGTTATCTTCTATACCGTTCAGTTTCTGATGAACTTCAGATAGGGAGGTTCTATAGCCTATCAGTTCAAAGCTATGTAACAGCTTGTATGGTAACTTTCCCTCAGGAGGTGCCTCATATAGTACAAAGTAACGTGTTCGCTTTCCATCAGGAAAAAACTAATGTGTCGAAAATTCAATACTAAGCCAAGCTTGTTTTGTATTGTGTCTTACCTTCATCCAAGACGCAGTTACCGTAGCGTTCGAAAACCAAAAAAGCTGATGGATATTATCGGCAACTTATGTGACAACAAAAAGGGTCTATCTTACCTCCAAATATTCCCAATTAGTAGTATCAAAAACAAAACGTCTACAAGTTGGAACTGCGTTGGAAGAACTATTCAAACCGTGCGTTTCACTAAAAGACTGGAGATAATATGTCAGTCCAACTCCTTGTTGCACTTAAAGTCGTATACTTACGTAACCCAGAATAATGGAGTCCACTATACCGACTGGTTGTAACATAACTAGTGCGTTGGTTGAAAGGATTCCTTGTGACTTTGCAAAGAAACACGTAGCTTCATCGATGGCTGTAGCTGGAACTGCAGTTTCTTGACGACAAAGAAGCCATTCTGCAACTACTTCGTGGTGAAGCAATCGAAGGGAAAACCCCTCTACTGTGCTTTCTACTAACAACTTGTTATATGTACCACCACTGTTTGCGCACTTATAGTCGCCCCAAGACACAGGAGTCTTTGCGTTTTCTTCAAACATAAAAAGTTACTTCTCGCTCTTCGTATTCTTTAATGGTTATCTACTTTTGGAAATAAAGCACTAAAGTTGCTGTTGTCAATTCACTTATTGTAACCAATAATATCTCCAATCCAATCCAACAATATGTCTTTTCCTATCTGGAAGTTGCGTAAAGGGAGGGATTGAAATCCTTTGATTGAGCCGAGAATCCGTCTTATGGACGTCGCTTCCAGAAAGATAAGATAATATCTTGATGGCTTTGAACAATGTGTTGTTTGTACTTGCAAGTTGTGTAAAATACAACTCTAGTGACAATCATTGTTGTGTTTGATATGAAAATAAAGAAATATTTTAAACTGTTCTATAAAAATAACAAAAGTTTTGTTGGATGTCTGATAACCCTCAACCCTCCTTTGGATCTATGAGGGTGCGTATATTGGCCCTATCTTATAAAGGCCCATATTCTCTTTCTTTCTAATAATTATGTTTTCTCAATCTACAAAAGAGGAGAATGCCTGGTGATTGTTTATTCTGTGCTTCTATTTGGTTGGTCTATCCACGAGTTGGAAGACTTTATACATTTCATAGACATATTCCTTATAGAATATTGAATAGTGTAAATAAACGGAAACCTCAATCCAGACCCAATAACCCAAAATGGTATTGTTCGTCAAGTGATAAAGCATTCGATGTCATTGTTGTGGGTGCAGGTCACGCGGGTTGCGAAGCAGCTTTAGCTTCTGCAAGGATGGGAGCGAGGACACTATTAATGGGTCTCAATTTGGATAGGATAGCTTGGCAACCTTGTAATCCTGCAGTGGGAGGTCCTGCTAAATCAACTTTGGTTCATGAAGTAGATGCGTTGGGTGGTTGGATTGGGAAACTAGCGGATAGGACGTATTTACAAAGAAGAATATTGAACAGAAGTAAAGGTCCCGCTGTATGGGCACTTCGAGCACAAACAGATAAACGTGAATATTCAGAAAAGATGAGACAAGTATTAGATGAAACAGAAAATCTCGTTCTTCGTGAAGGAATGGTTACGAATATTCTTACGGGTCCTAATGGAGAAATAAGAGGAATAGAAACTTACTTTGGAGGTTCCTTTGTTGCCAAAGCAGTTGTTTTGACTACGGGCACTTTTCTTGGTGGAATGATTTGGGTAGGTTCCAAAAGTATGCCAGCAGGTAGAGCAGGAGAGATGGCTTCTTTCGGATTGAATGATACTTTGAAACGATTTGGATATCAAATGGATAGACTAAAAACAGGAACACCAGCGAGAGTAGACTCTAGAAGTGTACATTATGAAGCCATGGAACCACAATATTCAGATACGGAAGATCATTGGTTTAGTTTTGATGACCGTGAATGGAACCCAAGAGAAACCATTCCTTGTTATCTTACGAGAACGACGGCAAAAACGCATCAAATTATTCGAGACAATTTGCATAAGACTCCTAAATATGGTGGCTTTATGACTTCTACAGGTCCTCGATATTGTCCTTCTATTGAAGATAAGATTGTTCGTTTTGCGGATAAAGAAACACATCCCATCTTTATTGAACCAGAAGGTCGTTCTATTCATGAAGTTTATATACAAGTATGATGTTTTGAATGGAAAGTTTGTCAAAGCTGATATGATAAAATAGGGCTTTTCGACAGGCATGCCGGAAGATATTCAATTGGAGATGTTACAAAGTATTCCAGGCTTGGAAAATTGTAAAATGGTTCGTCCAGCTTATTCAGTTGACTATGATTATATTCCAGCAACTCAACTGTTCAATACTTTACAATCCAAAAAGAACGAAGGTCTCTTTTTAGCTGGGCAGGTAGGTAGTTGTGTGTTTTTATTGTTGTGGATAATTCATTTTGATTAGATTTGTGGAACTACTGGTTATGAAGAAGCAGCAGCTCAAGGAATTCTGGCTGGAATCAACGCTTCCTTATTTGTACAAAGGAAACCACTTTGTTCTTTATCCAGATCAAGTTCATTTATCGGCACCATGATTGATGACCTTTGTACCAAAGAACTCAAGGAACCTTATCGAGTATTAACATCTCGTTCAGAATATCGATTGTTGTTAAGAGCAGATAATGCTGATGAACGACTGGTTCCTTTAGGAAGAGAATTGGGTTTAGTGGATGACTATTGTTGGAAGTTGTATAAAGAAAAGTATGATCGCATCAACAAGGAATTGCAAAGGTTATCGGAGGTTAGAGTGAAATGCAATGATGGTTTAGCACTCCGATTGGAAATGGAAGAAGATATAAAGATACATAGCTCGATAACTTTATCCGAATTGTTAAAAAGACCAGGTTTTCATTATAGTCACTTGAAACAATATGGATTGAACAACGTGGAGTTGACCAATTTATTTGAAGAGGAAAGTGTGGAAACTCGAATCAAATATTCGGGTTATTTGCAACGACAAGAAGAAGAGATTCGGAAACTAGCCAAGTCAATGAATACAAATATTCCAGTGGATATTGATTATACTCGTATGACTGCAATGCGTAAGGAAGCGATTGAAAAGCTTTGTCAATTTCGTCCTTGTACCATAGGCCAAGCTTCCCGATTAGGTGGAGTTAACCCAAATGACATTTCTATCTTATTGGTTTATTTAGAACGTCAAAAAATGATGTCTAATAATAGTAATAGTAATAACAGCAGCAGCAATAGTAGTAGTAGTAGTAGCGAAGAACTTAACCATGAAGACTCTTGTAGAGAAAAATTATCGTCCTATCAAAGAGCCGGTGGCCAATAGGAATGGAGTGGCAGTCTTCCTAAAAGAATATTCCTGTTGTTCTCTCACTTCTTAGGAATGGAATCGGAAAAGTCGTTCCATCTACGTTTCTCTAGAGGTGTTTTGGGAGTTAGAAACATATCTATCAAATAGGAAAAAAGTGCAAAAGAAATACAGCCTTGTAAAGCTGCACGAAAGCCGTTATTCCACGAAAAGAAAGCACCAGACCCACAAGCACCCACCACATTGTTATATTTGTCATCTCTTCCTCGCACTACTTTTGAAGCAGACTGTAGACAAGCATATACAGCAGATATTGCACCCCAAGTTCGTCCACTAATCACTGCTTCTTTCCAAGCACCTCCAAAAGATTTTGAGCTAACACCTCCTTGAACAAGTCCAAATATACCACCCATAAACGCACCATTAGCAAAGCTCAACGCTGTTGCAGAACAAACTTGCATGATCTTGTCCCTTAAAGACCTGAATGAAAGTCTCGTAAGGAATTGCCTATTATCACTGAGCGTACTTACAAAGGTACAGCAACAGTACTTGGACGAACTTTTCTCGTTCCTGAAGCATATACGACAGGTACTTTGGGAAAATAGTTTTGAAAAGTCGTCGTGGTGGAGATCACAGAGTGGCTACCTACAGGAAGACTACGAGTAGGTTCATAAATCCACCTATTGTTAGCATCTGGCAACCAATCTACGCTGTAGCTGTGTTCAGAGGCAACTCTACAGCATTGGATCGGCTTTTTACAACACGCATAATAATAATAATACTGCATGGATGACACAAGGGAAATGATCCACAAATAAAGAAAGGGAGTCACATCTCATTTTGCTATTTGAATCACAATGCTGTCCAATAATGAGTTGAGGAGTGCCAATCAGTGGTTTGTATTGTATACTAAGAAAAGCCTGATTGATTCAAGTTGGAGTCAGAATAGCTTCAGTTTACCCATACAGAGTTGTGGTGCTCGATTTTCTAATCAAGGACACCTTTTATGGTTTTGTAATACTCCTTTCACGTCTCATAGTTCTCCTGTTGAAGAGACTGGAGACTTGAAATTGAGAAAATCCATTGTTTTTATATCTTACCACCACGAAACGGATTGGTCCACGATACCCAAGTGCCTGTATCGTTGTTCCTATTGTTGGAGTGGATTGCAAGTGACACAATGTTTGAAACAAGTTTCAAAGTTATGTGAGGAACAGGGTCGAGACGACTTGCAACTGTTGTGGAGAATGGCACAACTTGGTTCAAAAGTGCGAAATTCAGTTGTTTGGCAACTATTTCAAGATGCCATCGTATTGCAAGACACTTGAAAGCTTTGTTGGTGCATAGAGCTCGTACATAGACAATCTCCTTCATTGTACTTCAACAACAAAACAAATTGAACAACTCCTGAGAAGAACATTCTTCCAAGTTCTCATAAGAAGTAACAAACAGTTACCTTTGAGCCTTTTGTAATATTTCTGACAAGGCAATGGGTCTGTTTTCCTTCCAAGAGCGGGCTGCAGCTAAGGCAGCAACTACGGGTGCTCTTCCATCCTTTCCATCAACAGGCGATGGCATTCCTTTTCGCAACATTTCTAGAAAAGCTTGCATAATATGAACATATGCTTTCTCATATCTATCCATGAAAAAAGAGTGTGGACGACTTTGATGAAGACCTTGATCATTGCTCCATATGACCTGATTAGGAGAAATATTGTTTCCTAATAAAGACCCTTTGGAACCAAAAACTTCTATTCGTTGATCATATCCATAACTACAACGACGACTATTATCGATGGTTCCCATACTTCCATTTTTCATTCGTAAATGAATAATAACAGTATCCAAATCATTTGCTTGTTTCGCTTCATCATCAAATGCATTACCACTTACAAATACTTGATCAATTTCACTCCCAGTGATAAACCTTGCCATGTCAAAGTCATGACTAGTCATGTCCAAAAATATTCCACCACTATTGGCGAGATATTCTGCTGTAGGAGGAGCAGGATCTCTAGAATGAATATGGAACATACGCAACTCTCCAATTGAACCATCTTCCACTTGAGCTTTAATAGCCTTAAAGTTGGTATCGAATCTTCTTTGAAATCCTATAAACAGACGAACATTTGCCTTCTCTACGACTTGTAGGCAGTCGTCGATAACTCCAAGATCATTGGAAATGGGCTTTTCGCAAAAGATATCTTTGCCTGCTTTGGCAACATATTTTAACTGCTCAGCATGAAAACTAGTAGGCGAACCAATAACAACTGCTTGTAGCTGGGGATCTTGTAACATTTGTCTATAATCACCATACCAACGAGTCTGACACGCTTCAGCAAGTTGTCTACCCACTGACTCTATAGGATCAGCAACTCCTATCAGCTTTACACCCGCTTCTTGGGCAAGAGTTTTGGCATGAATTCTTCCTATTCTTCCACATCCAATAACTCCAATTCCCAAACTTGATATTGCATTGTGTTGATCACTTGATTGGGAAGAAGTAGAGCGATGGGTAGAACAAAGCAGGTATTGGACTGTTCTCTCTTTGTCACAAGAAAGACGCTTTCGATGAATACCAGCGTTGCAAGGTGAAATAAAGATGGAATTCTTGTATCCTAATGTATTCGGTTGAACAAACAGACATGTTTGATAACAATGCTCAACAACAATATTGAAATGACAAGCCATTCTCTCGTCTATGAAGCGAATTTGTATCATTGGGCAACGAACCATCAAGTGTTATTAGAAAGAAGTATGATATGATATAAATGGATAATATTACCTAAAACCATTTTTTACCTTTCTTACGGTGTTTCAACAAAAGGAGATACGATACTATTCTTGACTTGTACATCGAATTGCTTTCAGAGAGAATCTCCTGATAATGAGAAACAAACCTAGAAAATATCAACAAGAGTATATTTCAACTAGCAATACAAAATGGCAAATCCATACAAGACAAACTGTGATGGACTCAAAAAATGGCGCGATTGAATTTTGAAAAAAAAATGCCAATGGCAACAAAACAACTTCAACATGTCTCTCCTTCTCCAGCGTTACGAAAACTTTGTGAGGCGAACGATGAAAACGAACCAACTGAACAGATCAAGCAAGAAGTTATTCAAGAGTTGGTAGAGACTTGGGAATTCGGTAGAGCAGTAAATGTCAACTATACTTTGGACAAAGGTAAGGACAGAATGGCTTTTTATGAATAGATTGAAAACTAAAGTGGTAATTTATTAGCTGCTGTAGCTGGTGCTGCTGGTAAGTTTATATTTTTTACATGGAATTTTTGCCAGTATATTGACCAAGTGATAGTAAACGAAAAAGCAGTCGTAGAATATCTTCAAGCAAGAGCACAAGCTTTATGTGACATGGGGTTGTTGGATGAACAAGGAATGCACGCAATTTTACAAGGGAGATTACAAAAAAGAGACAGTGCTTACGAGGTACGCAAGGCTCGATTCTCTCGTTGCAAATGTTTTGAGTTGCAGTTCGAAAAAGGATATTGAGAATGCGGTCAATGCTCATTGGCCTCCTAAGAAAAGAAATACAACAAGCAAGGAAATGGAGCCAGTTGCAAATGCTTTGCCACAACCATCCATAGGTGATATAACGAATAAGATGAATCCTCCAAAGTCCTACAAGGATAGACGAGCTACCATCATGGCATTAGGAGATGCCTTTTCTCAAGCTTATGACAACATCATTTATCAAGGAAAGCAATCCAAGTTGCCAAAATCTGTCAAGAAACATTTGACTTCTACACAATCGAAAACGAAAGAAACTCCTTCAGCAACTGGGCACCGTAACTTGCAATCGACAGTTAATGGTAACGATGACTTGAGACAATCTAATTATCTTCATATCAATGACTCCAACCCAAATGATTTACTACAACCTCATCAAAATGTATCGTGCCCATCCTCTCGGACACCAAGAGAAAACAGACAACCTCAACTCAATACCATTGAAAATCGCCAATGCTGTGTTTTACAGTAAAATGCCCAAAAGCAAGATATATAGGTTATGAAGTGATCACAAGGGATAATTCAAAATGAGTAGGATTACTAGTAAACTCTGTACTATATTCAAAAAAGAGCATTTTCCATCTATCATATGCATATTTATATAGATTATGTAAAAAAACAAAAGGAGCTCAACTTAAGAAAAGGATGTAATGAAGATATCAGATAAGTCTTCCGACTCTCTGAGAAACAGCCCTTTTTCATTGGCTAAATGTAATAGGCATATAAATAGATAAGGAGATGTAATATTTTTTCTATCGCGTTCACTGAATTGCTCAAATAATTGAGTTACCTATAGGAAATGTCAAGTTTTAGCACCAAGTAAGATATGAAGCTTCTTACCATTCTTTGTAATGACAACGTCTCATTCATATCGTTTGCGGAAGCTTGTTGCAAACTTTCATTTTCATCTGAAGTAATACCTTTTTGTGAAATGATTCTCCACATATCTTGTTTCAGTTGACGAATGTCTACATTCTTTGCCATAGTAGCAAAAGGAATATCAACCTAGTTACGAATCATTGAGTTCAAAAGCCAAAGAAAAGATAATTGATATGAACAACCTTTTCAACCTTGTATGGTTGTTCAACAAACTCCAATTCTTCCATATTCGTTGTGGACAAGTCCCAGTTGGAACTGGGATTATTTCCAACAACTGTATTCCATTCTTCATCTTGATTTCCCATCAATTCATAATGAATGTCTTCATCAAGGCATTCCGCATCCCAATGCTCATGATCATTACGATGAGTATTCGTGACATTACTCGTCGTCTTTTTCACAAGGTATGTAGGTTTCAGAAAGAGGCGGAAGAGGTCAGATGGCTGATAGTGCAAGTCAGGAGGAAGTAAGTTGGCAGAATCTTCATTTTTTAACCACGAAGCATTCGACAATAAAGTACTACTCGAATTCTTAGGTTGAGCAAATGCACTACAAAAATCCACATCTTCGACAGGTTTTGAAAAGTCCAACAACTTATCCACTTTGCTTCGATGTCTCTTCTCGATTCTTCTTTCGCCATTATGTTCATTTGTGGAAAGGGACACATTCCTACCACCCGTAACAAACTTCCAATGTGTGGGACCAGCCCATGAAAACGTAAGAAGACTTTGCAACTTTTTATCATTCCATTGCATGTTGGCATCCTTATTTCCATCTAATAATTCTCCTACTTGAAACATATCCGCACCATGAGCAAACATCTCAGTAATCCATTGCTTCCGTTCCTCTTCATCCTATCGAGTTGAGTCAGCGACGCCATTTTTCAATAAAAGTTAATTACCATTCCTGAGACTTCCTCTAATGGGAAACTTTCTCCATGAGAATTTTTCCATCTTGCTTCTATAGCCCCTTCTTCATTCCACGCTTCCAACTCTAAGCCATCATGAGAATCCAAGTACATCGAACTGTAATCAATAGGCTCCAATTCATGTGACTCGTTCCTCATCATTTCAGGATTCTCCACATCAACATTCCCCGGTGTTTGATTTTCTTTGTTCACAATAGCATGACCAGTATTTTGAATGTAATGTAGCATTTCTGGACATATGCCATTTTTGTAAGCAACATCCACGGATAATGAATCCAGGTGACTATGTAGACTCTTTTTTACAAAGTTATAACTGTCTTGGTATTTTTGTCGACAAGTCATTCCAACACATCCGTTTTGAATAGATGCAAAAAAAGGTCGTTGAGAATCAAAAACCAAATGACAAGCGCCATCTTTACAAGGCTCTTGAGACAAATTCAATGCATGTAGCAAAGAATTATTCGTCTCTGTGTTGTGAATAGCACGTGAAATCACTTGAAATAAAGGGTCCAACATATGCTCGACGTCATAAGATTTCACAGATATATTATCTATGTTCTTTTCCAAGGTACATTCACCTTGGGTTCGTGATTGGGTATGCTTCTTTTTGACATTTGATAGGTCAACTGTCTCTTCAGAGTCGTTCTCTTCTAAAGTCACTTTCTCTGATGGTGGTCCACCCGAACGAGTAAGATCACCCAACACACTGTAGGCACTAGTATGCACAGAATCGACTCTATAAGAATAAATTTTAGTGCTGGCATCCAAAGTAACTCCTGCCAATTGAAAGTTGGCTTCAGTTGGTTCTTCTATTTCATGACTAGCATCTTCTTCGGCATTTATTTCACCACTGACGACCAAACTTCTTAAATGATCTATAAGAGCAAGTGACCAAGAATTTTTAGCGTTGATTTTGTTATCTCGACACAACTTGATGGTGGTAGAATAAAGCTGTGCAAGTTGCCTTGGGTCTAACTTTTCTTCCAAAGTTGCTCTATTGGCTTCAAGTTCTTTTGATGTTGTTTGAAAGAGACTCTTTTCTCTTTTCGCTTTTCGAGCTGCTTGTTTTTCGGCTTCGTCATCGTTGAAGCGTAACGGAGTCCGGCTAATAGCAGTCGATGATGATGATGATGGTTGATGTTCGGGAGTCTTTGTCAACACACTCGGATGAGGTGAATTCCTATAGAAACTACTTAACCTTCTTTTCGCTTTCTTGTCACTCTTTGGTGTTGTCCAACTTGACTCTTGGAAAAGCTTTTCTTCCATAAGTATTTTGCTTCACAAGATGAAAACCAATTCCATTTTAAATTTGGCGGGTCTTCAGCTGCGCTCCATTTCCCATTGGACGATTGAATCATAACAAAATGATTTATTAAGTGCTCTTTCTAAGCTGTATGTATATAAACAGATAGCAAGACTGGCTGCACAAGTTGTACTTGAAAAAGTAATATCTAACAGATTAACCCATATACATCTATGACTGATACATCCATTCAAATAAAATAAACACAAAGATTGATGCCAATTGTACCCATTTCTATATCACTAACATCAAAAGTAACGAAACCCATCACCAATCAGTATCATTCTCCAGAACGTCCGGAAGAGGGGTCTTGCTCATGAGTCATCAACCATGTTGAACGAAGAATACCAAATAACAAGTTTCCGACAACTCCTGCCAAAATGCCCAGCTTTCTTTTTCGTGGAAGCCCTCGATCCAATAAAAACACCAACACAATAATACCCAAAAGAAAACCAACCAATAAACCAAATACGAAGTCATGAACAGTTCCCTCACTCTCTCCAAAAACAGACTCGTCAGTAAAAGCTCCACCTTCCAAATCTCCAACTGTTATTTCATGAGTAGAGGCATCAGCCATCCACCTTTCTTCCAAGTCTCTCAAATCTCCTGTCTCTTCCAGATGGTCAGGGTTCAATCCTTGACTGCGTGCAAATTGTCTCCTCAGGACTGCAATTTCATCTTCCGTAAAGCCTGCCTCACGAAGACGGTCCAAGCCACGATATTCTGAGTGGGGATCAACTACGGGAATGCGTGTCTGTAACCGTTCACTTCTTTCTTGATTGTTACTGGTGCGACCAGCAGACTTGGGAAATACACTCAACGTTATTCCAAAGTATGTGTACCGACAGAAACTAGTGACTTACCGTTACGTTAACTTCATCTGAGATAACACAGTGAACATAAGAACCGTCTTCTATTTTCGAATCTACTAACCTATTGCTCAAAAAGTACGTTTGCACTCTGTGCCCAACTGTGTCCTCAGCACATACCTCGAACTTCCTTCACTCAATAACTTTCCAGAATAAATAAGACGAATCCTACAACCAACAACAACTATCAACACAAAGCTAACTAGTCTCCTGACAAAATACTAATATAAACAAGAAAGACACCTACCGCTTGGTTTTAGGGTCTATTTTCCTTTCTTGACATACCTAAACTCATTCAGTTTCCTGTTTAGAGTGGGTTGAGTATAACAAACCTTGTCTTTTAATTGGTCTATAGTTGCGTCTTGGTCCACTTGAATTGTGGAAACACTTCCATCTGGTAAGCCTATGCGTAACTGCATCAACTCTTTCAATATGTAAATTTCTACGATATTTGGGAAGAGCCCAAAAGATCTGATGGATGGAATAGTTGAGAATCACAAGTAGCTTGATTGGTCTCTTTGTACTGTTTTTTGTATTTTTGTCGTAACCAGAGAATATTCAATGTTTCTAGTTGTTATCTTTATATCATTTTCTAAGGAAAAATAAACATATGGTTGATTAATGGTGAATTTACTGCTTTCTGAATAACAAAGCGGTATTGGATGCTGGCATTTCCGAAACTGTCACACATTCCAACTATTATTACGTTCATAAGCCAACTAAATGTAAAGAAAAGAGCAAAACTTGCCTGATTTTCTCGTGCCAAACGTTGCAAATCCTTAACGTCACGCAAACCATACTATATCGATTGGATTCCTTACAGATATTTCATTATATAATATACTTACCTCTGGATGAGTGGACTGAAGCATCTCATCAAAATTCTTATTGGATTCTATTGAACATAAATAAGAAAAGTGATGAAATGGAATGGAAACTAATTACCGTTGGCATATTGGCCATCCACTTTGCAAGCTGCATAGATGAATAAAAAACCACCTGGATTCAACAAACTTGCCTAGAGTGAGAACTTGAAACAGAATACGTTGCATACTTACTCTTTGGACTTTTGAAATAGTTGCAAGTGCAGTGCTTTAGGAGATACGTGAATGCAGTTTATGGCAATCATAAGATCGAACTATATATATAAAATGTTAGCAAGAAACTTTCTTTCATAGATATTTTTACTACCGGAGCCTTTTTCTCTACGACACTCCAATCTTCTTGTGTCGCATCTAACCAAATAGGTTCATCTATATTGGATATAAGAGCAACCCGCTGCTGGAGTTGCTCCAAATTCTCTTTATCAACATCTGTAGGCTACAGACATTTTCTTCCTTTGAGAAACTATTGAGAGTATCAAAAACATACCACAAATTTCCATCGGGGAAGTTTCTCTGCAAAGTACGTTATGTGCTGTCCAAGACCACTGGCAATCTTTTGTCCCAATAAGAATCTTGTTCGATAAACAAAAAGTTACTTATACCTCCAATGCAGTACCCTCTTCAGGTAAGTATTTGGAAAGCATATCAAATATAGAATATTTACTTCTTTCTGCAGCTGAAGTATATCGTTGTTTGTAAGTTTCTTTGTCTCCAAAGGGGTAGCGAGTTTCCTGATTCTTCATAGAGAAATCTACAAAATGAAGAGTCAAGCGCTATTATTCTCTCTTTTAAAGAGGAATTCTACGTAGAAAGTGATGAGGATTTATTTCTCTCTCTCTCTGAATGTCGTCGGAATTGAACCCAACCGGAAGTACTCACCCTAAGAGGAACAAATATCGTAAAGACAAACCTTGGGACTCGGAAGATATTGATCACTGGAAAGTAGAAGAGTTTACTCCTGAGCAAAGTAGCTTTCCATTTCTCGAGGAAAGTTCTTTTTCCACGTTGTTTCCGCAGTATCGGGAGGCTTATCTTCGTCAGGTATGTGGCGACACATCTATTCTAATAGTTGAGTTTTGATGGAAATAACGTTCCTAGGTATGGCCTACGGTTACCAAATCACTAGATACATATTCCATTTCTTGTGAGTTGGATTTGGTAAAGGGCGCCATGGTTGTGCGGACGACGGCAAAGACTTGGGACCCATATATAATATTCAAAGCACGTGATTTAATAAAGCTCTTGGCAAGAAGTGTTCCCGTTCAACAAGCTTTGAAAATATTACGAGACGATATGCAATGTGATATTATCAAGATAAGTAATTTTACTCGTAACAAAGAAAGGTTTGTGAAGAGACGACAACGTTTGATTGGATCCAATGGAGCTACTTTGAAGGCTATTGAGTTGTTGACGCAATGTTATGTTTTAGTACAAGGGAGTACAGTTGCAGCGATGGGTTCTTATAAAGGCTTGAAACAAGTTCGAAGAATTGTGGAAGACTGCATGAGAAATATTCATCCCATTTATAATATCAAAACTTTGATGATTAAAAGAGAATTGGCCAAGGATCCTATTTTATCAAAGGAGTCGTGGGATAGATTTCTCCCCAAGTTTAAGAAGAAGAATCCGAAGAAGAAGAGAAAAGTTCCGAAGAATACGAAGAAGGATGAAAGTGATAATCCCTTTCCACCTCCACAAATGCCGCGAAAGATTGATTTAGAAATGGAGAGTGGTGAATATTTCCTTCATGAGAAACAAAAGCAGTTGAGACAACGACAAGAACGTAAGAAGAGAGAGGAAGAGAAGCAATTAGAGAAGAGGAAACAGAAAGAACGAGAATATATTCCTCCAAAGGAAGATAATGTGAATGATTCTCAAGTCTACAAACGAAAGCAGTCGGATAACGACTCTGTAAGGAAGAAGAAGCATCGCAACAAGCATTCTTCTGCATGAGTTTTTGGTTTTGAATAATATTGGAAACTGTTGGCACTTTAAAATGGAAGGCTTATGATATATATATATATATTATATCTTTGGAAGGAGAGCAGTTTGGGAAAGCCAAATAATTGCTTTGGATTATTCCCAAACCAGAAAACCTTATTGCCCATTGGACATTTGGCTATTGTAAGTAGCCAACTTTTGGAGACTTGCTTTGTTTAGTTTTGGTTGGTAAATGTCATATCCAGTCATCATAAGTTGTAGAGTTGTGAGAACCATTTTCACATTGTCTATTTTTGTATTTCATATAATAATAAAATTTTAACTATTCAAAGTTTAGTACTATAGTATGACTTTCTTTGTTGTTCAAAAGGAGATGTTCCAACTTATCTAAATGTCAAAAGAATATCTTTCTTATTCTGGAACAAGATTAGAAAATGAAAGAAAAATCTTCCAGAATGTCCACTTGCACAAACTTCATGCCCGACGCAGAAATCCGGAAGCATCTTTTTGTTGGTTCTCAGCATCGCACGAGAAAGTGACCGATTAGTAAGCTGTGCGTGCCAAGTATTAAATGTCATATACGACTTGAGTTTTCTAGAAACACATGAACACTTTTTAAAGACTGTGTCGAAGTTTACTATTTCTATTTCGCACGGAACCAAAAGGACTCTTTTCAGGTGCCTACACAACTTGAGTCGTTTTCTTTATATTGTACTGTAAGTTGACATAGATAGAGAAAAGAAAGGAGATAGTTTAAAGTTGTTATATGAAAGAAGGAGTTGAAATAACTTGTTTGATAGGTTTTGTATATTGGAAAATAGTATCTTTTAGTTGGTTATTGGGTAGTTTCTATAATCTAGTTGCCTTCTGATCGTAAGTGTTTTGAATTGATTGTTATCCGTCTCCTTTACTGTATTTTATCAAAGTTTATATTGGATATGACTGGTCACTCTTTGTTTGGTTGTATAGATGCTTTGTATCAAAGAGAAGTTGAAGCAACTTTCTCTCTTCAGTTTGTTGATCCAGGCTCCATCAAGAACCCATCGGATTCATCCTCTGTACAGTTGGGTAGTTTTTGGTCGCCTCCTCCTTCTTCTTCGTACGAGACCACTCAACCTGCTTCTATGAACTTGACTGAACATATTGTGATCCCAACACATCAAGATACGGACTTGATGATACCTAATAACAAAGGTTCTTTGGAGTTTCAGAATATCTCCAACTCTATGTCGGTCTCTTCCTTATCTCAAAACACGGAACGTCAGCAACCCATCCAAATGAGACTTCATGGCAACATTGCTCAAGTCTTGCGTCTTATTCGGTTACTTACGGTTCCTAATAGTACTTTGGAAATGACAGGAACAGTAACTTTTTCGTTAAAGTTAAATGAAGAGGAGCAAAAATATTTGTGTGAAAGTGATGAGAAGACTTGTTTTCGTTGGATAGTTTCAAGAAGTGCAGCTGCAGTACATTTAGAATGTGCTTCTTGTTCAGGAGAATCTTCACATATTATCATTTCTGGCAAGTTTGAATGTGTGATCAAAGCCTATGATTTAGTTGCAGAGTTGTTGGATCCTCAAAAGAGAGGAAAGCATCCTTTAGAAGTGGAGAACAAGTCTCATAATAATGAAGTGAAGCATAGCTTTGGTTTGGACTCTACTTCGGAGTTTCCAGCAGTATGGCTTACTTTACAAGAATCGTCCTTAGCAGATCCATTTTCTTCTCGTCAACAGTCTCCAGTTTCACGTCAATTTTCGGATTGGATTGTTCCTCCTTCGTTAGTTCATTCACATAATTTGAGCCATCATCATTCTACTACTTCCAATGCAGCTTCTTCTCATACATTTCTCTCTTCTTCTGCTCCTTCTCCTATTACTAGTCATACATTATCTTCCATGTCCCATACGAATAATAAGAAAGATGAGATTATCAGTCGTTCACTTCCTATTAGTGCTGATTTAGGAGGAGTGGTAGTTGGAAGAGGTGGAACCATGATCAATAGAGTTCGTCGTGACTTTGGTGTCGAAGTGGATATCAATCCTGGAGAAACTTCTGTACGATTGAGAGGTCCTAAAAGTGCAGTTGATGCAGCTTTTCGCTTTTATGAAAAGAAGTTGGAACATGCATTGAGAAAAAGAGGAGAGTTTCATATTTCACCTACACAATTTTCAGAAGAAACGGAATCTCTTGAAGGAGGAAGTGCAAGTTGTTCACCATTTTCATTGCCAAATACGACAACCTATTCTCATCATCCTTCAGCTTCTCCTCCACATTCCATTCCAAGTTGGATGCCAGTGAATGACTCACAATTTGATGATGGCTTTGCAGGTGATCGTAATCTATTTGGAGAAATATTGCCTAATATTCGTCATCGTCATTGGTAAAGTATTTCGAATGGAGGATATGCTGGTTCCGATATCCATAGAACTAAGTATTCGTTCAGATTTTGTGTTAGAAAAGGATTCTTTTCGAAACTATTTGTATATAGTTGGCTTCCTTTGTGTTAGAAAGAGTACGTCAACAGAGGGTCTCAACCCTCCTCCAAAAGATATACTACACTTTACGACATCCTTTCACTCACTTTCCCTTTTTTTTGGAAACTTGTGTGTCTTTATAAAAGTTGGTTTGTTTTTTATTTGTTTCTGTAACTTTCGGTCACTTTTTGTACAGTTGCCTTGGTATCCTGTGATAGTTGTCGAAAAGAGTCGGGTAAACGAACAAGCCTATCTTCCAACGCATCTAAGCTTCGATTCCACCAAGATACCGCTTTATGTCTCAAATGATGTTCCAGAGTTTCCTATTTCTCCACTTTAAGTATTCTAAGCAGACCAACTTTGATAACTTACCTGGGACGGGTAGGACAGATTGTCTTTCTCTTCTTCCCTAGACAAAAGACTCGAATGATGAGAAAACAAGTTGAGCACATTTTCAGTGCTTTTCCACACATCTTGATGTAAAACATAATAATGAGCACCTCCTATACCTAAACCCAATAAAAAGGATGCCATCGCTGCTCGACTCCACATCAAAAGCCGTTGGACAATCCAAAAAGTATTTGAGAAAAAGGATGAGTTCCAAACCAAACAAGTCGGAAGAGACATGGAACGCTTTAAAAGACAAAGATAAAATAAGAATGGATGCTGCAAAAGAAGTAGCAGCTATTCTTTCTAAAGCAGAAATAAGAACTACAGTGGAGAAGAAGAAGAAAGGCAAACACCAACACAAATCTGAACAAACCATTCTCAACGTAGAATGGATAGAGCAAGCAGTGGACTTTCATAATAAAAAGTTGCAATCAAGAAAGGAAGAAATGCTATCTACAATGTCAACTATATTTCCTACGGGTTCTTCTGCTTTAGAAGAGTTAAACAAGTCTTCTTTAAGCATGGTTAGCTCCTTAAACGAAATAGGAAAGGAGATGGAAAAGTCAAAAGAACTTTTTGGTGACTTACCTAAGGAAATTCGAGTGCTGCTTAGAGTTGCTGCTTACGTTATTGCTGCACAAAGAGATGCCGAGGAAATGGCTCAAGTGGAAACGGAAGCTTCCAAAGTTAGTTCTTTATTGGCCTTTGGAGATGGACAAGAATTGGATATCTTTCAAATAGATAGTGATTTAAGAAGATTAGCTTTGAAACGAGAACAAATTATTCAACGTTCGTTTGGATGTTCTTCCATGTCTTTGGCTTCCTCTTTGAATGATAAAAAGTCGGCTATTGAGTCTTTGTGGCAACGTTCGGGAGGAACGGCAGATGTAAAGTTGTTGGAAATTTTGCGAAGTCGTGTACGCAATTGTCTTCATCTTTGTAAAAGTGACCCTGCTTGTCTAGTTGCTGCTTTAAGAATATTAGAGAAGAGATCATTGGTTCAATTCAAGTTAGGCATTGACTTTTATATGTTTGGAAAGTATTCTGGAATGGGAGATATTGCAACTACTATTGTAACTTGGAGTGTACGTGATGCTGTTGCAGATCTTGCATTGACTTTCGACAAGGATGCAGCAAACACAAGATTGGATTCATCTTCTCCATCCACAACAACTCCCATGAAAACACCTGTTTCAGCTTCTTCTAGTGGTGGTTCTACTTTATCGTTTACTCCTAAATCTGCAAAGACAGAAACAGGAGATCTCATAGAACAAGTACTGAACACTGCCGACCTACTGATTGGAAACCTTACATTTGTAGTAGAAGAGGTATGTAAACGAGAGAGAGAATATTTGACTGCTCATATAAAACATGCCTTAGGTTGAATCTCGGTTCCCTCCAAGACATCGCGTATTTCATTTATTTATGACTGAAACATACAATCAAGTTGGAGCATTACTTTGGTGGTTGGTTTCCAAGCTGAAAGAGCTTTCAAGTTATGATACTTTGGCAGTTATTTCATGGGTACGTAGTTGATTCCAAACGATAATTTTAGGAATTCATTTGCATTCCCTGTTAGATTGAAGAGTATCATGAACACCTTCCGAATCTTGTGCCACCCAATCAAGTTTCAAACTTTACTTTGGAAGGTCCATTGGAAAGACTGTCTGAAGGATATGCCACTCGTGCAAAGGAATTGATGAAGAAATGGATTGCAAATGTTGTAAAAGTGGATAAGACAAGTCTATTGGAATCCACAGAACAAGGCACATTATATTCTAATGGTCCTTCGGATGTCTTTCGTATTATCAATGAACAACTATCAATTGGTACGTGTGATGCGAACTTGAGAAAAGGTAACTCATAAGCTTCTTTAGTTGCAGAACATGCCAAACATGGAAGTCAATTGTTGGTTTCCAATGTCTGTGATGCTTGTGCAGAATGTTTATTGGAATATCGAAAGCTGAGTGTGTTATCTTTAATGGGCATTGAAACAGAAGATGGTGCACTTGAGAGATATTGTGCTATGTGTAATAATCATCGACGTTGTGGCTTATTGTCTTTACAATTCCTTCAACGTGCAAATGAACTTTTGGGTACCAACTTTGGACAAGATTCTCCAGGAGAAGTAAAATCAGCTTCACAGTTGAATGAGAATCACAACGGCTTGGATGAAAAGGAATATGCAATTCAAGAAAAAGATTCAAAAGAACGAACACTTGACTTGTCATCTTTACCTTTTCTATTTGCTATTTCTGCTTCCTTCTGTTCCAAACTGGTTGTGCAAGTAATCTTTTTGGATCTCAGTGAAGCATCCAATCTATGGCCATACTTATTTACGGAAGAATGGGAGAATGGTACAGAGCCTATTGCAGAATCAGTTATTGAAACTATCAAAGACTTTTTTGAAGATATCGAAGAATTTATTGAACATAAAGAAGATAAGCAAGCCGCTGCACTTGCTATTGCTCAAACTATTTCTGAAACATATCTAAAAGAAGCGGCAGAACGTTTCGGTAGTGGTAAGAAATTGCGACGATTACTTAGTGGTTTTAGAGGAGACAGACATAAACAACGCTTGAACGATATGGATGATGAAGAAAACACCATAGGCAATAATGAATCAAAAAGGCGTTCTGCTAAGAGGTTATTTGGAAAACGTTGTATTGAAAGACTTCGCGCCGATTTGGAGGCATATTCTAATTATTTCAAGGAACTGGGTAAGCCAACAGAAGTGAGCAAGAGACTGGTGGGTATGGATACCTTGGCTGATTTATTGGAGTCTTCATCGCCTACTGCAGTTTCAGTGGTATATACACGATTGGTTCGATATTTGTTACAAAAATGGGAGGAATCACAAAGTGGAGCAGATAATTATTTGGAGCAGAGTCGAGGTGCGGCTAGTAGTGTGTTGCCAAAAGCTGAACGATTATTGCATGCGTACCGACCTACTAGCCTCCAGAGGCTTTTTACTCACAAGTTTGAAGCAAGTCGTCTGAAAGAGTGTAGCGCCGAATTGAAAAGGATTTGGAAGGAATATGGACCTTCTGCAATAGGGAAGGAAGGAATAATGGTACTTCACGACGATGAAGAATCTGAATCGGAGGAAATGATATGAAAGAAGAAAAAATGCTATGCTCATTTTGGCGCCACTATCATTGAGTAAAATGATGGCTTCTACTCCGACTGCAATGGAAGGTTCGACTTCGGATGGTTCGTCTGGTAGTAATAATAGCAGTAATAGTGGAGGCGCGGTAACTGCTGAAGTGAGATATATTGAAGAAACACCTGTACAAAAATTAAACGACGAAATTGCACAACTTGGTAGTGTGATAAGAAGAGATATTCCTCGTTCTTTTTCTTGTGGAGAAACACCTGTGAATGCAGCCGTCAGTTCAAACAGTAGGAAGCGAAGAGACTCAGGAAACGATGGAGAACTGTACAGAAGGTCGTTTGGTTCGAAATACAAGGGTAGCAACTACAAGGGGCCAGACCTTTCCAAATTATTGCCTTTTGTGGATGCTAGCGTTCCCATTGTGATAGATGACGAACCAGCACCACCTGCAGCAGTAGCTGACGATTATGACGGTTGGAGCGCGTTGGTTGATAGTTTCTACTCAGGGGTGGGGAAGACCAACAACAAGTTGTCTACTTCGTTAGGTGGGGGTTGTCGAAGAGGAAAAGGAGGATCTTTGGCAGAGCGTTTTAAAGTACCTATACTACGAATACTGTTCCTTTCCAAGCTTGATGGAAACTGTTTTGATGGGACACATTTAACGAGATGGATCATAGCGAGAAAGCTGGAGCATAGTATTGATTTGATCGCTATCTTGGGATATTCAAGTCAACAAAGTGAATATCCCGTATCATCAGTTGAGCTACAAGAACGAGCTATCCAAGGAGACCTTTCTGTTAATATTAGTCTGTTAGAAGGTATCTGTCCACGTGTAGTAAGTATTATGTTCTTTTGAATGAGAATTCAAGTTCACTAGCGTCAAGGTGTTCGTTCCAGGGCCGTATGATCCCAATTTATTTCGAGTTACTCGTTCCGCAAATAAGACAAAAGATCGTCGGTTGCATTTGACGAACAATAGCTATCATTTATATCGTCATGGCTTAAAGTTAGCTGATGACTTACTTTTGGTAGACCCTGCCTCATTTCGACACGATTATCTATCCAATTATCAACCTTTTTTGGTTTGTAAAGATTGGAACATTTGGAACTTTCATGCATTGCATCGTTTAAGTGGACAAATAATTCCTTGGAATGAACAAAAAGAAGGCAATTTTCGCAATTCTATGGAAACACCATTATTGCATGCCAACGAGAAAACACAGAAACAGAGTAGCTTAGAAAATAATGTAAAAAGAAATGAATTGGAAGATATTGGAATAATAGCAGTGATGAGCTGTGAGAAGAAGCAAGGGTTTGTGTCATTGGATCCTATTTGGGCTAACATTTTAAAGCCTCGCTGTTTGTTTTGTGTTGAATATGGAAATGATGAACCGGAAATAGTCTGGACTTGTCCAGAACATAAACAAGCCAATATTTATGCTGGAAATTTTAGTAGAAATGGTGAGTTTGTTATGGTAGAGATTACTCGTAGCTGGCAATCTCCTTATCGCTGGATGATTCATTCTGTACAGAAATTGAAATTGTAACTGATAAATGAATATATCTCAATACAAGTTTTAAATAATGACAAATGTCTCAACATATATCTTAAGTTGTAATGGCATACAATATATGAAATTGGAGTTATCTTTACATTATCAAAATAATGAGTAGAATAGTATAGGCAGCTCGAAACAATCAAAAACAATTCGAATAGACAAAATGCACAAGTTTGTAACAATGTAATCGAAGAATATGGAAATCCAATCCACAATTGAGTCCATTTATTCAATCACGTCTTCTTCCTCCAATTCTTCATCCTTAGATGACGGAAACAAGTTTTCTTCTTCTTCTATTTCCTCTTCATCAAAATCCACATCATCTACAATCCATTTCGGTATACGTTTTGAAGATGTTACTTGTCTTTGTTCCTTCTCTTGAATATCATCTTGCTCCCAGTCGAGTTCAGGATTCATGGCATCCACAACATTCTTGTTCGCATGACTTCTTTCTTCATTCCATTCTTCCAAAGCCACACTGGAATCTTCTCCTGGTTGCAAATCCCTTTCAAATATGATGCTTCCATCTTCATTATATGACACAATACGACGCCTATACTGCGGTTCCGACTCTTTGTTTGAAGAAGTTTTTTTAGTCGAGGATTTCTTCTCTTTCCATTGCTTCTCCTTTCTATCTTCTGTGTTGGATTGCTTTGGTAATGGTTCATATCCTCCTGTTCCTTTACGCATTCTTATTTCATTCCTAACAAACATCAACTTGTGTCCTTTTGCTTTTCGTTTCAATGCAAAATGTTCCTTTTGTCCGGTAGATAAACCAGTTTTTATATAGTCCATTTGTCTTGTCAGTAAGTTGGCTAAACGTTGATTCTTCTGACGTTGTTCTAAGAGGTTTGAAAATACAGAAACTGTACTTTTATCGACATCCTGATGATGTATTCTGCACATTGTATCTTTAGCATTATTGCATTGAGTCTTCCATGTAGAAACGAATGGAATTCCTCTTTCTCCATATTTCCATTTGACAATGATTATGAACTCTTCAAGAAGTATCTTTGTTGCTTCAATAGAAATGTTTTCGGTCATCATTACTTTCCTTGGAAACGTCATCACATCATACATGGTTGACAACTTTCGATAAGAAGTTGGACGATGGAAATTTCGACAGTAACTTTTGTATAGCAAAAGCTGTGAAAATATCCATTGCTTCATATTGAACATTGGAATGATACAAAAGGAACAAGGCAAAGACCTTTTAACTCCAGTCTCTCCATGAAGACTACTAGTCTTTGACACCCTTAACCTCCATCTATCCATAGGTAAACGGAACTTTCCCAATTGTCTCTCTCTTCGAGCTGCTCTTATCTACCGTGATTCTTTCAATAAACAAGTGAAACATAACGTATTGTTCTATACCTCTGAATCGGCCAATCTGATTCTCAAACTCTGAACTATTTTGTCCTCCTTTTCTTTGGAAAGCTTCTTTCCATTATTCCAAGGAATCGATTCTGTTCGTGCTGCGTATATCGTTGCTTTGCTTTCTGTTGTATGGACTTGTTTTGATTTCTTTATTGTAGTTGGAGCTTTAGTAACCGTTTCACAAGTAGCAACAGTGACAGCACTAGTTGTTTGCATACCAATCTATGGAATAGAAAATAAATAGACGTGCTTTGTAAGTAGTTACTTCATAAGAATGACCCCAACACTGCGTACCTTGTTCTTATTGATTCTTTGAACAAAAGGAGCACGAAAAATATTATGGTTGTCGCACAAGTGCCACACGAGTATTGGATAAGAGCCAAACGAAATCATATCAAATATACTTCGACTTGGTGCAACTCGAAATCAAACTTTGATTTTTCTTATAAATTCAAGTTCGAGAATACTATTTTTATAACATATTTGTTCCAAGTAAAAGGTTTTCATCAAAAAGAAGCCATTTTTCCAATTTTGCAATGGAATCTATTCTTCGGTATATCGTTTTATATTACTTTCATATGAATAAAGTGATACTCAACAAGACTAATATAAAACTTCAACTAGCTGCAGTTCTACTTTTGACCCAATTTTCTGTTGTACTCAACTTTCTATTTCCACCAGCATTCATCCAATGAGAAGCAGTTTTTAAAAACTCTTCACGTTCTTCAGTCTTCAACATTTGTCCACCCGATCGAGCATCCAATAATCGTTCATTATAGTCTATCAATTGACTGCATTTCTCCGTAAGTTGCAAACATAAAGACTGTAAATGATTAGGTTCCCATCTCTTAATAAGCACACAACCACTCGGTTGGTCCCAACTGGCTTGTAACTCTTCATTCATAATCATTTTACTAATTAGAGAATGTACTCGAGCAGGAGATAATTCAAACCATTCAGATAGAAATGCAACACTCAAGGAATCAAAGTAACTAGCATAAGAATGAATAAAGGTGCGTAAACCTTCCACTTGAATCAAATTTCTCCAGGTTTGTAAAATAGATTGAGCAGAAGCAACATCGATAGACTCCCAAGCTCGAATACTTGCAATATCAGTTGATAAGCATATTTCCAATGTAAAACGATACAAAAAAGCACGTGAAGCAGACATTATATAATCTCTCGTATTTTCTGGAGGTGAAGGATATGCTTGCCTGATGGAATTTCTTAAGAAATGTTGGAAAACTCTCGAATAAATCTTTCTCTTCTGAGGAGCTTCATTCTTAGCTTCCGCACGAGTCAATGAAGGAATCTCAATCACCATTGCCGCTATCAAATGTGCCATTTCAATAAAGTCAACGGGTAAGTACATATGATAAGGAATTTGATAATTTCTTTCCAAACGTTCTTGTTCAAGAGTTTTTTCATGTCCACGTTGTTGTACAATACCTTGCGCTAATAACTCTTTCAAACGAGCAACTGTACTACTACCAAGTCCTGTATGCACTGGAGTACACAATTCTTGTAAACAATACAAAGTTTCTTGAGCTAACCCGTGACGAAATGCACATAATCCTAATTGTGCCATAGTTCGATTGAAAAGAATCTGAGAATGACATTATTCCATTATTTCCATCAAGAATATATAAAACAACTTACTTGCAAAGGTAATTCTAAAAGTCCAATACTTTCTTGTAAATGACTCATCAACAACATATCTCGAGCTTCATAATATCGATTTTCTAAGGCATGATGATAAATTTGACATAAAATGACGATGGATTTGAGATTTTCTGAGCCATAACGATAAACCAACACTGCCAAACGTAATAAAGCTTGTTCGCCTTTAAGAGGACGTTGATGAATCGGCAACTCTGGAATATCTAACAGCAAAGACTCATCTTGTGTTTCATTTAGATAAACCAATCCGGATAATACAGGATCTTCATCATGGATGACTTGCAATTGTTTCCTAGTCTTTTGTAGAGATGCTTGAATCATTCCTACAATCAAGTCATCAGGTTTATAATATAAATGTTGAATTCGTCTACAGGCAATTCTTGCAGCTCTATCCAACTCTTCTTCTTTTTCAAAATAAGTTTGTGCCTTGGCAAGCAATTTTAACAAGACAAATTCATCTTTGAGTCTATCCACATATTCAGGTAAATAAGCATCTATTCCTTGCCAAGCTCGAAAGAGATCATCATCCATACGTTCCAAAAGTGTGGCTATATCTCCTCGAACGCACTTCCGCTTGTCATTCTTATCACCATTCGTTTCAGATTCTATGGACTCTTCTATTTGACTCGTTGTTTTATCTCCTCTTATAGGAACTGACACATCTAAAGTTTCCGTGGAAGGATGATTCACTACAAAACGCACTTGGGTTTCATGTTCAAAAGCTAAGTTCAAAATTTTTTCAATACACTGCACACAATTACGCCAATTCTCCTGAGACATATATCCTATTGACAATGGAGTCATATCAAAGTGTGTCGAAACGATTTGAAATAAAATCTCCATTTCTTGTACTAATGTCTTGGCTACTTTCAATAACATTTCCAATTGCAACAGACTCTCCCTTTTACTAGTTCCTTTTCGACCTCTAGTGGCAATGATTTCCACAAGTTTCTGATCTATTGCAGATTCTGACAAATCCTCCGTAATACCGAAATCTTTAGAAGCTATGGCAGGTATATTATCAAAAGTTTCTTTGAAACTGGATACAAAGGTTATCAACAAATCGATAGTCAAAATACAATTCATACCTTTGTCCAGACTGCTGAAGAATCTGTGATTTGGACTTTTTTCTCTCCTTATGTGACGTGGCTTGTGAGCCTTTAGACAAACCACTTGTCTTTAGTAACCACTGACTACCTACCAAAAGGTGTTCAACTAGCTGTGTCAAACAAACAACAGAAACTTACCTCCTGAAGTAGCTGGCTTCGCTTGTTCCGAATCTCCCAAAGATTCTGCTTCCGAATCGTCCCAAGACTCATTGGCTTCACTTTCTTCTTGCTCTTCATCAACTCCTTCACCAGTACCTTCGTCTTCGTCGTGGAGATCTTCTCCTGGAATAGCACCTGACTCTCTAAATTTTCTAATATATTCTTCCCACTCTCTATTGTTCTTTTTAAGACGTTGCTTTACTGCATTGAAAGCTTTGGTATTTGTCTTGGAAAGTTTTTTATCTTTGTTTTCTGCCGTCTTATTCAGAAAGTCCTCCAACAAGACGATAGCACCTCAAAGAAAGCCAATCAACATTTTGCAGAAAAAAACAACCACTTTACACATACTTATATAGGCTTTGGGAGGTTCCTTTCTACTTTCACTCAAAACGTCAACCTTGTAGAATTTTTGAAGTTGTCTGTTGAGAGCATCAAAGTCGGACTGAATTGAAATCCAGTCACTTATTTTGATGTGATTCTTTAGTTGTTGAATGATCGACAAAAGAGCCTCTTGTTGTTTGGTCCTTGCTGAACGAACAACTCTCTTCTCTTCACCTTCTTCCGAGTCACTGTCTCTCAAATACCGTGCCAATCTTTCACCCACTTCGAAACCTGTTGCTTTGTTTCCATCGTTAGATTCTGCTTCAGAAGATTCGTCTCCTGAAACATAAGAGTCTTCAGTATGTTCAGAACGTTCAGACTCTGAAGAGGAAGTATCTCCCGTGGCAAAGAAACGCGACGTCATTACCCACGATGATCGAGAAAAGTCTTTGAATTATAAAGCACAATACAAAATGAACCGTCTCTATCCATTTTGAGAAGTTTGTCTATCACTCTGACACTTGTAAGAAATAGAATATACTGATGTGAGAAAGGATATGACAATAGCCTCTATTCTTTCTAGACAAATAGTGTTAAGAAACTTGTCCAATGTATTTTATTGAAATCCTCCAAAAAGAAAGAAAGAGAACCAACTCAACACATTTTGGCGATAATATTCTTCCAAAGAGTTGTCTATTCATTGGCCACAGAGATATTGTGCTATCATCTTTTAACTCAAGGATAACTTTGTGCCAATCCAATTCCATTTTTGGAGTCGTATCGTGAATGACAAGTGCATATGGTCCACTTGACACTACACCAGAATGGATGGAAAGACAAAAAGTATTGGATCGTCTGATTCCTCTGAGTAACTTGTATTTAAGGGATGCAACTCCTGTTCGTATTGTCCAGTTGCGCAGAGAATGTACAAAGTTATGTGAACAAGCACAATTATTGCTCAACTTGGAAATAGAAGCAGGGTCCTATCCTCAAGACAAAACGCTGGATATGGAAGGATTTTGCAACTACTATCTTTCCTATTTTGCTTTTGCCTGCATAGAGGATGTCGAACACCATAATGACGATTCCGTCGATTTGTTGGGAAGCTTTTACATTAAGCCCAACTTTCCTGGAAGAAGTAGTCATATTTGTAACACTGGTTTCTTAGTGCAACCCCAATGGAGAAGAAAAGGAGTTGGTTCTGTGATGGAAAAGGCGTTTAGTTGGTTATCTTTCCAGCTATTCTTTCGTGCGGCATTTTTCAATCTGGTGTATGTTGATAATGAAGCTTCTGTTGGATTTTGGAAAAAACATGGATATCAAATAGTCGGCGTCATTCCCTGTGCAAAAAAGGTGAAAAGAGATGATGGTACCATCAGTTATGTAGATGCGTTGAACATGTTTAAAGAATTCTGTCCTTAAGCATATTCATTGATGTTATATGCTCAAAACTTACAAAAAAGGAATATTTCTCCACTCGTTTCTGGACCATCAGTCAATCATCACACAACTTAGATCATCAAGTATATGGAGAAGACGTATTATATTGATTGTAATGCATATTAGAATGCGAAATGCAAATATCTCACCCAAAGTCCGCATAATGACGACTAACTCTTGAAAGATAAAAAATGATGTTTAGAGAAATGGTTCTGGCTTGTTTCAATCATTGCTTGAAATGTTATCTCTTGAAAGCATAAGGCTAATGTTATTGTTTGATAGTTTGACTGTACTTATCTTGAACTTGTTCACATTCTCAATGACAAACAGAAAATGTACAACAAAGGCACTATGTATCCGGAAATTATTCTTTTGAATAGAAACATCGACTGGATATTATTACTTGGTCACATAATTGTTTACTGAAATAGAAAAGAATGCAACTCGAACTATCTTGTTGTAGAGACAATTTATTCGGAGTCCATCCAACTTGTTCAATTCATTGCTATGTCTATGCTATATTCCCTAATTGTCATTTCAATTTATTATTCGTATTCCTTCCTAGTCTTGTAATATATAAGGTATCCTTAACTGAGTCCAAAGTCTTAGCTACTATCAGATAGTCTAACCGTTGGGACTGTGTTAGGATACATTATTGTCTATAACCATTCACAAAATAAACAGATCAATAGCATCCGTGTCACTCTAGTGTTTTAAGTTGATTGAATAGAAGTATTCAACTTTATTCTTATTGAACTCTTGAAAATATTCGATTGATATGAATATAAGCCTTGAAAAAATTTTGGCAATATAGTAAAATGTAGCTTGTTTGTACTAACAACTGACTATAGCTATTTGTCATAATTCTGGTGCTGCACTATTTTCAACGTTCCAGCACGTTGTCATGGAATCCTTAGTCGAACCGAAATAGTGTATTCATGTTACATTCTTATAGCTTAAGTTTCGTTTGCAATGCAATTCTGTGTGATTTCTTTCAATTCAAATGACCAAGTCGATCCTAATTGTCAAACACAATTCCATACCTTAACATCACATAGTACAGTAGAAACTGGAGAGATTCAATATTCTCTATTTACTTCTTTCTTGATTGAATTTGCCAAAGAGCCTCATGTCTTCAAGTAGCTAAGAAGACAATCTATCAGAATAAGAAGAATTCAAGTATTATTATGAAGGTTTGGGTATAACCGTTAAAAAGCGACTTTTTGAGAATTTTGCGACATATTGTTTCCGACAGTTGTGACCCTTTTGTTTTGAATAGCGAGTATGCTAAAAAGTAACTTTATTGTCACATTGTCTCTATACCTTTGAGTGATCATGTGTCCACATGATAGGGTTACGTCCGTGCTCAGAATTCTAATCTCACAATTTCACAGGAAAAGTACATCGAGACAATATTTTCTAACGAGTTTGTTTGCTGCAAATAGTTCCACAGCAAGTATTATATCATCTATCGAATACATAAAGATTATTAGACTCCAAGGACATTTTGGTGTAAAGCCTAATATAATGTCCTGAAATATTGTGAATGTCGATTTTATATCAATCCAACTGGTATCCGATAGAAGGAGCTTCCTCCAAACTTTATTTAGTCTTATCAAGACTCCATATAATGGATATCCTCCTATTCCAAAGTTAGTCAGAAAACTCTTTAGTAATGCCAATAAGCAGTGTGGCTATTACGATGGGATCATTGATACCCATGCGAAGTAACAAATCTTCACTGAGTCTAGAAAGCGAAACTCTGCCAAACCTTGAGAGTTTCCTAAAACAATAAGCAACATCTTCTTCAGAAAAACCACAACGTTCTCTTAGGAAAGTATTCCAATCAAATGATGAAGACAAAGAACTGGATGCTGCAACCCTTTGTTCGCCTCGTGTATCTTCTTCTTCCACTTGCATAGCACTTTGAAAACTTTCCATTTGCATCCTATTCTCCTCATTTGTTCTCCGTCCTATATGTTGAGCCACTCCTAAAGTAACATTTGATTGCTCAGCTTCCAAAGATGAAACATATTCATTGGACATCGATTCAAATAAGTTTTACATCATACTGAAAAGTATTTACTGAACTCTTCTCGGCTTGCCTTGTCAATTTTCCTCAAAATATCGAAATTTTCTCTTCCAAAGAATCGTTCAAGGTTCTTTTGGGAAACAATTACCAACTGCAGGCATGATCGACTACTTTCATTCAAAATTGACCCTGCAGAATGTTCAGTAACCAAATAACTTGCATCTTCAACAGAGAAAAAAACAGATCGATCATAATTAGTATATGCTATCACCACAAACTGAAAACAAAGTTGAACAGATGAACAAGATTCGTAATTCAAAACGGAAACAACTTCCTTCAAAAATTTTTTGGCTTCCTCCTCAATATCTCTCTTCGAAAATTCACTTTTGTGATAAAATTTGAATGAAAATCCAACAACATAACGTGTTTGTCCATTATGGAATACAACATATGCATCAGGGCCACTCGAATTGCCATCCTTTGGAACAAAAATACCACAACGTTGTAAATATTTTCCATAATGATCAGAAAATGAATCAGAGACATCTCTCAAGATGGGTATATCATTAGATTTTGTTGATTCCATAGAATAAGAAACATTGTCCTGTTCAATAAAAGAGCCCTCGAAAATTCCTGGAATAGCAGAATGTACAATAGGCGAGGAATTAGAATGAAGAAAAGTTAATAAGCGAAAGCGAAAGATCTTCATAAATACAAATTCAAAGAAGACTCCCTTTGCTGTTGAAGTGTCGGGAATATAACTAAACGGAGATAAAGAAAAGAGTTCAGTAGCCTCACGGAAAAAGTTATAGTTGCTATGAGCTCTCAATATAAATTCACAACAACCAATCTTGAATTCGGTCCCCATATCAACCCCGTCAGTTTCACAAATTTCAAAGTAAAACCCAAAAGTTGCAACCAAGTCCATCAAATAAGTTCTCGTTCCACATAGAGTAATTACAAAGTCAATTGGAAAAATTGTTCCGAGCTGATAATTCAAAAAGACAAATTCATATCGAAGAAGGGTTGCGGAATCTAGTATCTCTGGAATAATAAACGTTAACGAATGTAGTAGTAAAGACCGGAAGACACCATCTAACAAAACTTCCATATTGTCGTTGTTGATAGCAGGTTGCGACAAATCTGCAACTTTCCGTACTAGGGCAAGTAAAGTATTCCTTACAATCAACGGGATACCCCCTGTCTTCTTTTTTCAACAATTCTACGAATCGATGTCGTAAATCATCCGAGAGCAATAACCAGTCCTTCAAGGACTTTCCATCATAAGTTGCCAGCTCAAGATATTCGTTAATATCATGGAGATTAAAGGGATTCAACCGCAACATATGGAGACTCACTCTACTGGAGCGAGTATCAGACAAGGGGGCCGAGATTTCAGCAGTTCGACCTGCCAAATAGACAATTACCTTCCCTATAATCAACAAATCACGTAAAATGCGGAAGAAGTTCCGAAAAGGTACATATTTTGGGTCAGACTCGATGAACTGTTCCTCGCCGAGTTCACTATAGTATTTAGTGAGGTAACTCAGGTGGCTAAGTTCGTCTATCATCAAAAATAAATATTGTTTCTCAAATTGTTCGAGAAGATAATCTATGGCATCGTCCAAGTTGAGTTCCCTGATTATCGTTGAAGCAACGTGTGCGGCATCTTTTCTTCTTCCATTTTGTCGATAAGCGTTCAAAATTATATTATATAACAAAGCCTATAGAAACCTTGGAAAAGGAGCACCAAAAAAGCTCTCTCTTAGTTCTAAGATAACTGACAAAGTTTGTTCCGCAAAGTGTTTCCAAGGCACCTTCAAAGCACTCGGTTGGGGGTTATCGTTTGAACTGTGTAATTGTTGAAAAGTCTGTGCATTGGAACACTCACGCTCTGCAAAAATATTCAAATAGACCAAAAAGTTTTGGCCTACAAATGTTTTGCCGGCTCCATAAATATGCGGCGCAAAACAGCAAGCCGGGCGATTGAACGAAGGCCCACCGTACGCCTTCTCCGAGAACTGAAAAAGAAACGTCTGTATAATTGTCCTGACGTCCTCTTCCCTATCAATTTGTGGTTCTTTTAAGCGGTATATTGGTTGCATTATCCAAAGACTGATACAACTCGAAACTTTCAACAACGAATGACCTAAACACAAATTGTAAATTGGACAAATTGATAATGTTTTTCAAGAGTTTCCAGGGCGGCTATACAGTTACTTTGGATATCGTTAAGTTGGTTTATGACACTTTAGCCACTTCAAACCTATCGAGGGATTAAAGTTATAAAAATGAAATTTCGGAATTTAAACCTCTCTTTGAACATATTTCAAGCTTTGAATTGTTTCTATTGTAACAGTCCCACCTTTTCCTTTGAGACGTTGAGCTCCACTTGGCTTGTATTGTCTTTTTGGATTGTCCAATATTGAATACCTCTGTTACCTTTATATACTCCATTCAAGAAATATCGTTGTTTAAACTCTGGTATTCCTTGGAAATTCGCTGTTTGCGTTTCGAGGAAATAACCAAGGCAATGGATTCCAAATAACTCAAGGTCGTGAACCTTTCATCTCTCTCGTAAATCAGCAGATTTTTATTGAATGTCGTTTTAGAATATTTTTCGTGCATATCTGCAGTCAGAATCTTGGTCCTTTAGGCTCTTGTCGATATCAGCCCTTGGGTTCACATTGTCAAGATAGTTTGTAGGAACCTTAACTAGATTCTTAGTCGAATCCTATTCCTTTTATTTTTGGGCACTTTAGTTATGTCCGTTTTCATTTAGGAAGATACTCTTTTTAAAGAGACGCATTGTAGGTTTGTGATCAGATTTGGAACATAAAAGACATTTCTCAGAATAGCATGCAGAAGAAATCCAGTGACTATTTCTACCCATCTGTCATAGTTGTCTTTATTATTTGCCTTTGAATTGCTCCTTTAAAAGGGTCATATTATTAGATAATTAGGACGCCCGTTAATAAGTTGACGGAGCGTTTAAAGAAGATTCTGACCAGAGATAGATTGCTCCTTGCTATGATTGATTTTCCTAGACATCGTTGTTTTGATACACCTTGTAGATAGGTATTTATATAGTTTGTCTCAATGTCTCATATCTATTCCCTTATGGATGATCGTTAATTCATTTATCACGAATTCTACCAAAAGAAAAATTTCAATAGTCATCTTACCCAGTCGTTTTGTTGTATCGTTTTACATAAATGATAAAAGTATTTACTGAAAAAGCAAGGTGATGCTGACTATAGGAGTATTTTAGCTGTTAAAGAGACATTTCCAAAAAATGGACAAATAACAAAAAGTTTAAAAAGTGTACAAACTTTCGGTTTATAAGAGTACCAAAAATCAGTAAAGTCTCTATGCCCAAAAAAAGCTATTATAACAGAAAGGAGTTTACATTTCAATGTTTCTCATCATAGCAGAAACATCTGAGCAATCCTTTTACAATTCTTTTTATAGATGATTTTAAAACATCCCCATTTAGCAAACTCTTGCAAAAAAAGATAACATTGCTAAAGCAAGATTGCAATCGTACACATAGCGTTGTTCAAATCGGCAGAAAGTCTCATTCTTTTCAATACTGTATAACTAGGTAAGATTGCCGATGGACATTTACCTTGTTATGATGACAAGTGGTGGGTTCTTCGAATGGATAATTTTAAAACAAAAAATTAGGAAACAATGGAACTTAAGCTCTTGTAGTAGAAAGACTGCTCTGCTTCTTCTTCTTTTTTTTGGAAACTAGAAACATAAATGATCTAACAGTGCTATTAACGAATACTCTTATAACTTTTCACTGTTGACTTTCATTTGAAGAGAACTATAGGGTTGAATCTGGAAAGGGACGATCTTTGCAGCTTTCAATCTTTCAGCAACCGTTTGAGATACTCTCTCTATGAGCTCCTTGACTTTAACAGTACTCTAAACTTTACCCCGTAAATTGTATCCCTATTTGTATGTTTTCTAATACTCAATGACTCGATATAATCCTTGGCACTTGTGTGTAGACCCAGTCAATGAATGGCAAAGTTTGAGGTTATAACTTTTTGTGTTTGTTAACTATCCAAATATTGCATATATCAAAATATACCGGAGTAGCCATAGTAAAAACTCAATCTAACATTCCCTGAAGAGAGTAGCAGTCACAAGAAAGTTTCTGGATGACTCAAAGTCAGGTACGTTTGAGTGTAGAGCCAACGACTCAAAATGAAGCATTCCTATGTGGACAACATACTGCAATGGAATTATACAATATCTTGCAACAATGTCAATGTGATAAGAATACATAACTAACTACCTATTTGAATATGTGATAGTAATCTTTTGCAACAATACTATCTGCCAGGGCATTCCACATCTCAGCAAAGTTCCTTCCAAACAACATTTTCCAGGTACTAGAAACATACCTTTTGTCTAAATCATTGCGAAAGATAACTGTTTGAAAACGATTGATGGTGCAGGATCTACCAAAACTTTTCAATCTGACTACATTTCTTTCTCCTTTACTATTTGTCAAATAGCCACTCCTCTAAAGGGTTCAACGTATTACAAACTTACAATTCCAAACAAAAGATTCTAGTAAAATATTTCTTATTCTGTTAATATGAAAACCAAGCAGCTTTCGATCGATTCAACCAAGTTCCATCATCATTACATCTTTGAAGTTTGCACAACAATCTACAATCTTTTGTCCGCCAACTTGTGGTTCTATCAAACCTAATCTAGTTGAAGACTCATTCTACCTTTCAGAAAGGTAAAGTTTATGCTTGGTTATGGAAACTTGGGTGCTCACCCAATCACATCGGGTCTCTGGCTGATGAAGGTTTGTTTTAGAACCTTCACAGTTTCCAAAGTTGAGAAGTAAAATACCATAGTTTAAGCCTTGCATTTTATTTTGAATAAAAAGTTTTTTGTTGTATAACTTTCCATTGCTCAAATTGAGTCATTATCAACGTGTCTCAAGCTTCCATAGCGATCTATTTTGGTAACAAACTGATCCAACAGCCTTTTGAAGTCATCCATTGTGAGACTATGCTGAAAAATCGAAACATTTCAGAAACGTTTCAATTTCAACAAATATTCCATTCATACGTAGAAGAGAAGAAAGAATGTGAGATTCTAAAACAATTGGAGCAAAGACAAAGCGCTTTCTGGTGTCATATAGAGTTTTCTGTTTCTCCAATACGGACTTTTTCATGACTTGAGAGCCTTTCCCAACAAAGTTTTCTACAATTGCTAACGAATCAAGCTGA